TCCCCCAATACACCCCATACACGGACTTAACAAAAGATGCCTGCCTTCTCCAGCCTCGCTTCTGGCCTCGCAGCCGCCCTCCTCCTCAGCCAGACCTCAGCCCATTTCCTGCTCGACTACCCCACGTCGGTCGGCTTCGATGACGAAAGTAAACTCTCTCTCTCTGTCTCTCTCTCTCTCTTCTCATCTCCGTGACCCTTCCTCGCAACCCTCTCATCCTCCGCACCCAGACTAACAAAATCAACCCCCCCCTCAGTGGAATCCGTCATCCCATGCGGCGGCTTCTCGGTCGACTTCTCTAGCGCTGAGGTAACCAAATTCTACGTCTCCGGCGACAGCATCGCCCTGCGCTCTACCCACCCAACCACGACCTGGCTCTTCCGTGCCACAATCGGCGCGCCTATCGCCGCCGGAAACTGGACCATTCTCTCGGCGAGCATCGAGCAGAAAAACATAGGCGAGTTCTGTAAGAGCGACATCATGGTCCCAGAAAGTTTCGCCGGCAATTACGGCACGATTGGTGTTGTAGCTAATTCCCCGGATGGGGTGCTCTACCAGGTATGTCGAAGACGCATCCAATACTCACACGCGTCAGATGGGGTAGGGCTAAAACATTGCCATAGTGCGCTGCAGTATCGTTCGTCGCCGGCAGTGCGCCAGCCGTCCCCTCCTCTTGCAAAAACGGGACAGGCGTGACAGCCACCTACAATGCCGACACTTCACTTTCTTCCCTCCCGCCCTCGACGGCCGGGACAGGTGACAAGAGAGAAGGAACTGCTCCTTCCGAGTTTCAACAGGGTGGTTGTCAGAAGTCATTAATATACTAGTAGTCAGCTCCAACTGCTTATGCATAAACTTCTATTTCGCACCAGAACTCGTACGTACCGTAGTAGTAGTACATTTGACAGCTTAAACTTTCTACAACCATAAGTGTTGGTTACACAATAGGGTGCACACGTGAGACTTGATACGAATGTGGTTGCATTCGTGGTGTTGTTAAGTCTGAGGGAGGGAGGAAGCTATTCTAGCTGCGAGGTGCAGTTACATGTGGGTGGTTGCTATGCCAAGGGTGCACGGGCCACCATGTAGTTGCTATGGCAAAGGTGCACGGGCCACCCTTATCCCCGATCGAGTCCTTAACTCCGATCCCCTCATTCCTACAATAAGCTTTGTAAGGTAAACAAATATCATGCCCCTTTAATCAAAAGGAATAATTTGTGACCAAAAGATGGTTTTGATTTATTTTATCATTTAATAAAGTTCATCAAAGCAGAGAGGTATAAAAAGGTTGATTTCGCTTAGCCCTACGGAGAAAAAGTCTTACTGTAGCATTCAGACCTGTTGGTCACATGTCTAGGACACTAGCATGCTAGGTCCACAGCCCTTGGTACCAGCATATAAGGCTCCTTCAGAAGTCTTGTTTGCAAACCTTAGACTTGAGTAGTACTACCGGTACGTAGTAGTACACGGTAAATACTACTCGGTATACTTCGTTGCTTTTCACCCTAATCTGTGCTCCCGACATATACTTGTACTAATTTCGAGATGTAATCATAAAGGGGGAACAGACCTTGCGAATAGCTCCAGTTCGGCTTCTAACCCGTGCGCCCGGCCCAGCTTTTTTACTTCTTCGGTGCGCCAGCCTACTTCAGAGGCCAGCGCACGGAAGAAGTCTGCGCTGGCATAGAGCGGCATTTATTTTAAGGTATTGCGGCATGGGAAAACGTGCTCTACCGGTACTACTACTATGTCCGAGGCACGGGAAACTATCGACCGAAAAGGATTCGATCACACGCACGAAAAGAAGATTAATGCCCCTTTTCTTGTTTTTACAGAGAATAGCCCCTATTCAGGAGCTGGAGGAGGACGGTGAAGGAGAAGAATCTATTCGCAAAGTCGGTTTGTTGCCAGATCGGAAGGGGGCGTAGATATCAGAAGATAGCGGATTGAACGCAAGTTAATTAAATATTCTCATCATCTGCGGCACGAACAAGAATTCTTTTTTGTTCCTACTTTTACAGCCCGTTCTGCTTCAGAACGAGAGTAAAACGTCGCTGGCTTTTCTGAAACATATCCAATCTCCTTCCGCATTTTCTAAAATCTCTTGATGAACTTCGATCTCAAATCGCCGGAGGGGCGCTGTGGTCTGCTATGGCGCTTAGAGTAGCCATTCAGAATTATTTGGGTGATACAGGTTGGGGCCGACGGTGGCCATATGTCAAAAATTCACTGCACAGAGCGGCATTCGGTTTTAGGTATCGAGGCAGGCGAAATTATGTTCTATTACGTACTATATTCGAAGCATAGGAAACCTTTGACACATCGGTAATATCCTTTATCGGATATATCGTATCGGATATGTCGGTTAGGTCTTTGTCGGATTTGTCGTCATCGCTAAGGGGGTGTTTGGTCCAGCATGGCATCAGGTACCGGTTCTGTACTACGTACTACGTAGTATTTGCAAAAAGGCTCGCGGCGAAAAGGTTTTCGCCGAAAACCGCGTCTAGTCCAAACCTTAAAAAGTGATCGAAATACCTACTACGTCGCAGGCGTAAGTATTACCCCTCGAGGGTAGGGAAAACAGGGGTTTTAAAGTGGAAACTAAACTTTTAAGGCACCCTCGAGGGGTAATACTTAGGCCTGTACCGTGGTACCTGTAATCCAAATGCCTTTTCGCCAACTCACATGCGTAGTACTACGTACTTACTACTAGTACAAAATCGCAGGTACTATGAAAAAGCTGTGCGAAACCTAGATTCAAAACCTACTTTCAGGTTTCCGCGCTAATTTTTATGATAGACCTTGTTATAAGTATAAATGGTTATATTCGAGTATAAAAATCCATTATTCTCCTTTTAGCTTTCAAACACTTCTCGTACGTAGTATTATTTATGTAATTATGAAGGAGTCAGCATGAAATATACGTAACAAAGCTATTTTTATCGATCGTATAGCTCCCATAGTCAGCACGCCCCACCACTTAGGGTTCCATCAATCTACGGACAGCATGCGAGTTTAATCTTTGAATACTGCCTGATCGGTGCTCAAGCGCAGGAAGTCTTGGTCACGGAAACAGCACCTGATTCAGCTATGGAAGCTTCCCAATTCGGCGTTGAGGCTGTACGGAACGCTGGAAAACAGTAAAACCCAAAGAGGTAAGGCGCGCTGACAGTGGGGGTTCATACGGTCTAACATTCAGAATACTCTCGACCAAGAAACCACCTATTTCGCAGGGTTTTCGCGATATTTTTCACAATTTTTTTTATTGAGAAAACCACTATATTTGAAAACGATCTTCGCTATACGCTTTCGATAAAACCACGATAGTTGTGCTGGACCAACGAGCCCTACTCTTGGTTTTTGGTTATTAATTTGTGAGGGGACTGATCCGGCAATTTGGTCGATGGAACAGCCAAGGCCAAGGGGCGCGCAGAGACCTCTTTGAAGGACTTTTCTCCTTTTCTCTTCTTGTAACTCAGTATCTCTTCACTCTTCGTAGACAATTCAGACCTTTACTAAGGCTTGGCTTTGATGACGTAGCGGTCTGTCACTAGTGATAATATTAGTTTGTAGTTACTGTATTACGTAGGTCTAGATCAAAGAGAAAATTTTAATAATAATTACTCGCACTCCGCTATAAAAGAATGTCAACCGACTAGGGTCGGTTGGGATCGGATGGCGTCGTTAACTACTACGTACAGTTTTCCCCCTCTGGATACATGTCGAAAGTAAAAAATTTGCAAAGACTCTTATCAGGGCTTGAACCAATTAACTGTAGTATAACGATTCAGCTTTGAAAAGTTTTAGTACTACTAGTAGTATCTTTAAGCAGATACCATGGTACAGGCCTAAGTGTTACAGCCTGAGGATGCCTTAAAAGTCTAAATCTTCACTTTAAACGTCCTGGTTACCCTACCCTCAGGGTGTAACACTTACGCCTGTGACGTTGTATCTAGTCTGTGCAATAGAGTTGACAAGGCTTTGAGCCATTGAAATCATTGCTCTGCGATTTATTAGGCTAAACTGGATCCGATATTTATTCAGAGGTACTTTAATGCAGGTACAGTACGTAGTAAAAGTCTGAATTATAGCCAGAGTAAAATACGTAAGAATCAAGGAAGCCGTTGAACAGTGCGCAGCACAAGCTTGCTGCCGCTCCATCTCGGCCGTAGGTTCGCTTCCACGGCTCTCCTTGCCAGTTTGTATACGAAGGTGTCGACCGTTTTCTGCTATCCTAGCCCGTGCTCGAGGCGCAGTCGGTAAAGGTACTCTACTAGGTTAGATACTACGTACTGTAGTAGGTACTAGTACTACGTATATGATAGATATAGCGAAATAATAAGCTTTGTGAATGAATGGATAGATCCAGAACTTATTCGGATGAAACGCCAAGCGAAAATCAAAGCAATATATCCGCAACCTTTATACCCCCCCACCTTTTTGTCCGAAACATTCTTCCATCTGTAGGAAGCTTTCACCTCTTTTTTTGGCACTTCTCGGACGAACTTTCGTATTATTCCGTGGCGATGACGGCACATCTGCCAGTATGTGGCCGTGTGCTACCCAGTATATTACCAAGAGACAAGTACCCAGTAACTGTTGCTTGTTGCATGATTCACGGCCCGCTCATCTCTTCTTATAACGTTGCGTCCCCTCCACCTTCTTGAACTGTCACATCGGCTTTTCTTGGTTTTTGGTTCCCCTTGACCAACCTGCTTTCGCTAAAATGAAGCTCTCTTTTCTGTTGCCCGCAACCATCTACTCTGCACTCGCAGAAGCTGTTATTCTCACGACAGCACCAGACTCATATACTATTAATGCTGAATGTGCGAATCCGTTAGAAGTTGTCGTGAGCCGGAAAAGTTGTGATATCACTTCTTTGAAGTACCGTGGCACTCAGACCCAGTACTCTAACACTGGATCGCACATAGGATCCAGTCTAGGGACTGCTACTGTGACTGCTGATGAAATTACCAGTAAGCGAGGAACAACGGGCGTCTGGAAGATGTGCTAATCTTTATTTATCTAGGCGGCTATATGAAATATGTGAAGATAACGTGCGCGACTGAAACACTTACCCACTACTATGTTATCCGAGACGGAGAGAGTGCTATTTATATGGCAACCTATATTTCCGCGCAGCCAAAGATCGGAGAACTTCGATTCATCGCTCGTTTGAACGAGGGCGTTCTCCCGAACGACGACGTGAACCAGGCCTCGGATGTCGGCGGTGCGACGAGCACTGTGGAAGGAAAGGATGTTTTCGTGGTCGACGGTCAAACCCGGAGCAAATTCTACTCGAGCCAGAGGTTCATCGACGATCAAGTTCACTGTAAGCTTTCTTGTTATCACCAGATCGAATGCAATCCTGACCAGGTGTTACAGGCATGAGCGGATCAGATATCAAGGCCTGCATGGTCATTCCAGGCAACTCGTATGAGCTGTCTTCAGGTGGACCATTCTTCCGCGATATGTGAGAATATCCCATCTGTCGTACCGACGTAGCTAAACTTTCTTTCAGCAACACAAACCCCACCGGATCGTACAGCGGCCTTTACTTCTATATGAACTCGGGCCATGCTCAAACAGAAGCCTATCGAATGGGACTGCACGGCCCATACGCCCTAGTCTTCTCTCGATCCGGCACCCCAAATAAGAACATGGACCTCTCCTTCATGGGCGATATGGAGCTTGAAGGCTGGGTTGCTGCATCCGACCGAGGCAAAGTCAGCGGTAAAGCTTCAGGCGTTGACGGATCCAAATTCGAAACCGTTTTGCACTGGTACAACGACGAGGCCCAGTACTGGGTCTACGCCGATGGGTCCGGAAACTTCGAGTCCCCAGCCATGCGCCCGGGTACCTACACCCAGGTTCTCTACCAAGGCGAGCTCAAGGTCGGGAACTGCTCCGTCGAGGTCACAGCCGGCGGCTCCGCCACTTCCGACATCGCCTCGGACTTCACCACCGGCGTCACCCTCTTCCAGATCGGAGACTGGGACGGACAGCCGGCCGGGTTCCGCAACGCAGACAAGCAACTCCGCATGCACCCCAGCGACCAGCGCATGGACCCGTGGGGACCTCTGACTTACACTGTCGGCTCATCCGCTCTCACCGACTTCCCCATGGCAGTTATCAAGGGCCTCAACGACCCGACCACCATCAATTTCACGCTGACAGCCGAGGAAGCCAGCGGCGCTGCAACTTTGCGCATCGGCACTACCCTCGCGTTCGCAGGTGGGCGTCCCAGCGTCGTGATCAATGGAAAGGCGGGCACTGCCCCTGGGGCACCGGTCGCTATCGATTCGCGCGGGTTCACGAGGGGCACGTACCGGGGACGTGGCGAGATCTACGACTTTCCCATCGATTCTGATGGACTAATTGCTGGCGAAAACACGGTAAGCAGCAGTTGTTTTTTTCCCCCTCTGAATCTTGCAAACGGAGACAAACAGTATTGACGCAAAATCAGATCACCATCTCCGTGATTTCGGGCTCCAGCGGCGCAACGTTCCTGGCGCCAAACTTCGTAAGTTCTTTCTTTTTCGGCCCATCGTGAACCTTTGCTTACGTACCTGCATCTAGATCTTCGATTCGGTTCACCTCTTTCGCTAAAGCTGCTCAGCTGGCCTACCTATTCTGATGCTGATCAGCATGACTTTTATTTTATTTCTATATCTATTTCTATTCCTAATTCATGACTATTTACAACTACATGAACTTCAGTACACAATGAATATATTCAGCTTCTCGCCCTCATTTATTCTTCCTGATATTCATTTCGCCAAATCCGCCTCTCGATCAGGATTGTTTACTTCCAGAGTAATATGATTACGGGAAAGTCCGACTTTCCGAGAACGTGAAATCCTGCAACGGCTTTGGCTCGCAGACTTTAGAACATCACTTTCGGTCACGAGATCTTATTTGCATAATTTAGCTAGTTTGAGTCTGACAGCGCTAAAGTTCCGGATGGTAAAGCGAGTGTTTTAAACCAATATTTTGAAAGAATAAGTGGGGAAAGGAAGGGAAGGTTGATGGATAATCCTCAAGCCACCTTTCCTCATTTTCCTCTGCCACAAGGAGAAGCCTGTAACGAAGAAGGATTTCGGATTTTGGGGATACAGTGGTAAATCTTCCTCCAAACGGGACTTAGGACAGTAAAATCCGTTCCTACAATCCAATTTCGCACTTAAAATCGGGTGGGCGAAATGTAGTTTTATCGCTCGGATTATTAAGCCATCAGACAATATAATCCGTCGGCGATAAGACAGACCTTTGACCTAGCACAATGAGGTCGGTCATATTCCTGATCCTCGTTCCTTTCATAACAATAATGAAATAACAACATGTGATTAGAGTTGTATTGATGGATGATAATTGAACTAAAAAATACGGTGCATCTTTTCCTATGGGAATAATTACGAAATCTATCGATTTTATAAGGGCAAGACTAGTTGTACCGCCTCGGTGGTTCCGGCTTCCTACAGCAAGTCGGTAATTTTTTTGCAAATTATCGGTAGTTCAGGGTAACCGACGATCATAGGGATAGCTGACTGCATTGCACTTTTGGGTGCTATCGTTATGGATTGAATTCTCGAAGGACGGCTAGCTGCATCACGCTTAAGGGGGCTTTGATTAGGAATGAAGTGCTAGAGAGACAGTTGCTACTTGCATTGTCCTTAAAAAAGCTACTACCAAGAGTATTATATCGCGAAGTCCAGAAGACTTGCGGCCATCCGCAGGCTTCGGATATATTTTAGCTTGCGGCCGGGCTGAACCTTAACGTTATATTTTAGTCCAGAAAACACGCTTACACTCTTGTCATATAATTTTAAAGTGTGTTTTGTCTATTAAATTGATGCTTCGTAGCGCTGTGAAGCGAGAATCCCTTGGAATCGGAGCTTGCGGAAGGCCGCCAAGGAAGAAAGGGAAGATTGCAATATTAAAAATAGTTAGAAGCGTACAATCGACTCGGAAGTTGGTGTTGAGGATGAGCCAAGATTAGTACTTGCGGCCAGTAAGTATGTCCCTATGCGTAGGTCATTTTAAACTGGGGAAAGGGGCTGTTACGCTCTGTACAGCTGGCTACGCCCAAATTTGACTCTATATTTGGGATGATCTGCGACATGAGGACATACTTACTGGGCCGCACCAGTAGCCGTACTATTAATAATAACCGACGTAGAGATTACGGAGTACGGTTCAAGAAAAAGATATATATCCCTTCGTGCACTTGCTTCAGATTTATTTCATCCACCTCCTTCTCTGCAAGCTTGTTTCCTGATCGTCGGCTCGCATCATCCAGAGACCTATACAAACACGATGCTGCAATCGAAGTCTATCCTCGCGGTCTTTCTGGTCTTGAGCTTTTTCTTTCATGAAGCTCAAGCAGGTAGATTGCGTGATAGAATGTTTTGGTGGCGCAAACCATCAGTCATCGGCTATGCAAAACTTCCCGCCGTAAGTTTCACTTGATTTACTAGTATATAGAATATCATTATATTAATTACACGAATTACAGGCCCATGCTACGCTCATCAATCGAAAAAACAAGGTGCAATATATGGAGGGAACCCAAGTTCCATTACAAAAAATAGGAACTGGTTTATATCTAGGTGAGCTGATCCAAATAGATCGCTATCTATTACGCGGAGCTAATGATGTAAAAAAGAAAACGACCCTACTAGCTGGCTAGGTGCAGATGAAGATTGGTATTGTGTTTTCAAAGCGGATAAGCAGAAGTTAAAAGATATCGACAAAATATGGATCCCACGAGCTTATAAAAAATCGACTCCGGTTGGTCCTCAGAAACAAGATTTATGGGGCGTAAGCGAAGACGACATCGTGGACTACATCGAATCAATGTCATCGGAATTAAAATTGACATCGGGTTCCAAGAAAGCGCTGCGCTTATATCAAAATTATCAGCTGCTAATGCTTATTCCAAAGCAGACGATAACTGACGGGGATTTGGGTTTATGGGCCCAATGCTTTGAAACTGAAGATGAGCTGGATGATTTTTCGGATGATGTTATACGTTGGAAATCTTGGGGGGTTAAAGGAGATCGTGGAACCGATGCCTTCGAACCTAACGAAGAGGACTGGTATTTCGAGCCTTTGGACTTCTTTGCTGATTACCTTCCATGGGGGACTAAGAATAGTCCGAGGAGGGCGTGAGGATTGTGGGTTATGCTTTGCTTGCGGAGGGGAGGGTGGTTGGGGATGATGGTCTGGTTTTGGATGAGATTCCGGGAAGGAGAGGCATGACGAGGGTACAGGTCGTGTTGGCCTGGGCGTTGAGGAAAGGATGGGGGGTACTGGTGAAGAGTGTGGATGTGGGCAGGTTGGAAGAGAATCTGGGCACGACAGACTTGGCTTTGAACTTGGCTGAAGAGGACTTTGCTGTTCTTGACGAGATGTCTGTGGAGGGAGAGGAGAAATACTGTTGGGATCCGAGATTGGTAAAGTGAGAACCATTCTCGTTGACATTCGGTCACCCTCCTCGAAGGGATTAAGGGCTCAGGTAGTCAAGCAGCTGGTTTCAAAGAGAGCGAGCGGCTCCAGCTATACCGTCCCCTTCGAATCATTCAACAACAAATACCCGTGCCAATATATAGCAGATACTTATCACAAAATCCGTTTCCATTCGTCAACCCAAGTCTAGCACATCCGCTTAACTGAAAAAGGGAATGGGAATGGGAGGTGATATAAAGTTCAGATGTTATAGGGCATTACAGACCCCAAGACTGGATCTATTCTGCAGTTTCGTCGGCGGAAATTGAGTAAATGGACGCAGAACTACATCGTTAGGCTGAAAAAATTCATATCGGTAGACACGCAGTACAATCTTACAATCTCACAGTAATCTCACCCGTTTTCCCATACCACACCCCCCTCACCCTTACACGTAAATCTCTTTTGTTTTCGTCAAAAATATATTTCGCATTAACTAAAGCAACCAAGCAAAACCAATGCAAAAGCAAATGTACCGTCCCCACCGCAAACCAATGGAACAATCCCCAGCGCCTCATTTGCGCGGCACGAAGTCGCACCGAGAATACAGAGAGAGACCCACCGCCCGCTCGCTCCGTGGTAGCTTCCCATACCCAGACCCGTGTACAAAGCCACATTCCAAAGATGAGGCATGTAAATAGAGGCTCCCTCCTCCGCTTGTGGGGTCGTTCCTGTGGTGTATTGGCAGCCGTGAAGAGAGGCATAATGAAACGAAACAAGGAAAATTTCTTAGGGAAGTGTGATTTTTCCTGCTGGGGGGAATGCCGACCTGAGGTTGTGCTCGTGTTCGTGTTCGTGTTGTTTTAGCAAAACTGCGTGCAATTCGGCGCTTCGAGATCTGGTAGGGAGTGAGTCCACTGCCATTCTTGCAAGAGATGAATCCGGTGCTGAACAGGGAATCGTGAAACCCCAGGTCGAGGTAGAAAAATACTATTTTGAAGTTGGACCGGCGCCAAACTATTTTCATCTCGTCTTCGCCGTAAACGTCCTAAGCAAATATTGGACGTGGCGATACAGACGAGCGTCAATAATAGCATCCTGCCAGTGGCAAGACACCTATCATCAAGTCTTGCTTTTGAAAGATTTTGGAAAGACGTCGCAAAAAACCAGGCGTAGGAAACACAGAAAAATTGACATTATCAGTGATAGGCGCCAATAAGAGTCATGATTGAAGGTGGCCATGGGACCGCAAAGAAGCGGATATGTGGCATCATAAAAACGCACTCACAACATCGTGTGGCGACGAGCAGCAGCAGCTGGATCGATGGGACGGACATTCGGGCCGGAGCGCTTATTGAACTCCTCAGCAATCCGGCTCCAGCGGTCCTTTTCATCCTCCTTGTAGATCTTGACCAAGAGGAGATCAGTCTCATTGTTCCACTGAGGTCGGACTGGGAGAGCCTCAAGGTCTAGGTCGGCCATGGTAGTGCCTCTCTTACCGCGCTTGGAAAGCGGAACGAACTGCTTTCCCTCGGCGGCAAAGAGTAGGGGAGCTGTGCGGCTGTAGCGACTAGTGACTCCACAGACACTGAGATCAGGATTGGCACCGTTTTCGATTCTCTTCTGGTTGAGGATGTCAACGATTTGAGGGAACGAGAGGCGGTCGATTTCTCTCATGTTGACAATGGCAATGTTCTCGGGGTCATTTGCGCCGTAGCCACGCTTGCAGACCTTGTCCTCCTTGCCACGCTTGAGACCACGCTTGAGGAGTGCAGCGTCACTGACCTCGGCTTGTCTGACAAGTGGAGGATCTTGGTTCATGCCCCATGGCAAGTCAGTACCAGAATAGCGGGAGGGTGCGAGGTTGCGACCAATATTGTTAAAGCGCTCCTCGGGTTCCGGGGTAGCCTTACGCTTTCTGCTAAGGCCGGGCTTCGTGGCAACGGGCGAGTTGGCGACCTCCTTGAGTCTAGTGAAGTGGCCATGATCAAATCGAAGAGAGGAACCGGCTTGGCTTTGGGCTTTGGGAGATAAGTCATTGGTAACGAAGAGTCCTGTATTCTTTAGCACAGCCCTACTGACATTGAAAAGAATAGCTTACCCTCCTCATCATTCTCTTGACCGACTTCATTTTCATCGCCTCGGAAGTAGTTGCCAGCAGGGCTAAGAGACTGACGCAGTGGCGAGCCTTGGAAATTGAGCCGACCATTGCGACGATTGGCGCTTGGAGTTAAGAACTGACCACCCTCAAGTCCATCACCCATCTCATGGTCCTTGTATTGGTCTTCATCGAGAGGACCAGAGAAGGATGGGTGATAATCGTTGACCTTTGACTCGGCAGATCGGCGGCGAGCAGGATAGCTGTAAGGCTCCTCACCAACATTCTTATACTTTCTGGCGGGCGAACCTTGCTGATACTTTCTTGAGCCAGAGTATGTCTCATCATCTTCAAATTCGTATTGATTATATCCTCTTCTGGGCTTCTTGGAGGAGTTTGGGCGGCCTCTCTGTGGGACGATGAGAGGAGTTGTCTGAGAGTCCTGAGAGAACATTCTGGCAACTGGTGCTCTGGTGACCATGGATGGACCGGCCTCAACACTTGCAGTGCGACCGAGGCGACCGGCATAAGCTAATAATATGTCAGTATATTGCCCTGAAATAAAGCGCTGTCAAGGGAAAATGAGTGTGAATCAAAGTCCATGATCGAGCGAGACCGAGGAGTCTCGGGCCCGCGACGACCACGAAGACAAGTGAACATGATCGTGAACGTGAATAATGACAGCCAAACGCAATCGATACTAGAGGTGATATGACAATATTTTGCAGCTTAACACTCAGCCCAAAAAACGCGTGCCGCGTTCTGGTTTGCTGAAGGCTCGCTACCCCTTTTAAAAAGTTGGGCAATTGGAAGACAAGAGAAGGGGGTAGGGGCAGAGGGGGTGGAGGCAGCTCTAGTGTAAAGAGAAGTAAGAAGACCTACCCTTGGTATATGCGCCGGTAGGATCATTTGCGGGAGGGGCAGGAACGTAGCTGTCAGGCGACCCATCTCTCTCCTCCTCATCGAACAAGAAAGGCGAAGGTCTTAGTCCATCAACGCGCGAGCGGTCGGCAGTCTTCTTAAAGCTCATACTCGCACCAGCAACTGGGATTGAAGTTTTACCGACATCATTTGTTGACTTGTGTATAACATGCGTGTTGATGCCAACTCCCTCTTGGATATTCTTGCCGTGGATGACTACTTGGTTGAGGGCAGCGCCTAGTGCGGTATCACCGGTATCAGACATGGTGGAGTAGGGTTGTTCTCGGATGTGTTTGTATTCGTGGTTTGGTTCTCGAAGGTCGACAAATGAGTTGTTGAAGGAGGGTGGTGTTTTTATTGTTGGTAATGGAAGTGGGTGGAGATCGGGGCGACGAAAGTCCTTGGAGGTCGAGAAGAGAGTCGGGAGTCGCAGAGGCGCTAATGAGAAAATGGTTAGTGGCTATTGACTTCTCGCTTAGCAGTGAAAGGGAGGATTGTCCCCGTGGAAGATCAGGTGACAGAGAGTATACTCTCAAGGACATTATAAGATGCTGAATACGACAGATCAAAGTACTGAAAAGAGTGGAGAGAGACCTACCTGGTGTAAGTAGCTATCCCAAAGTGACAGCAACCTAGCAGTTTAGTTGCAGTGTTCCGAGAGTCTGCGAGAAAACCCCTTTCGATGGAAAGGAAAGCGTTGTACTCGGAGAAGAAGTTGATGTGTCGAAGACAAGAAGAGAGATGGAAGTGGTTGTGTTTTTGATAGTGGTAGAAAGGATCGGGAGTGTATGTTCTTTATATGAGCTGAAAGGTGAAGAGCTTCGCTAGTCTTTGCAGGTTAGCAGTGAAAATCAAGTGAATCGATAGCGGACGCTAGCGGATCGTGAGTAAACAACCTCCACAAATCGTATATTGAATGAGATTATGCGCATAAGATAAGGGGTATTAGAAGGCAGCTAAGATCGGTTGGAGTATAACATAATGAAAATAGCCCAAAATTAAAGGAGCTTTTTGAGGTATGCTTACCAGTAGCGATTGAATACAAGCAACTCGATGTTCTTCGACGGCAGTCCTTTTGTCGACCGTGAATCCAAGGCTGAGAAACTGAACGATCCCAAAACGCTTTCGAGGTCAGAGGCAGCGATTCAATGATTAAGTGAATGTAGGTAAGCAAAGGCCGCAATCACAGCAGTCGATATATAATAGCGGGCCACAAGGCTGGATACCACCGACTGGTATATATCCAGAGCAGTTAAGATCACCAGCAATCAATTCAGCGTGAATTCCAATTGAAAGAAGGGGCATAGTATGATTGCCAAGGCATTCTTAGCACGAGTGTGCTAAAACTATTATTTGAAATTCTCTGTGTCCAACGCGGCATCAAATCTCGAGAGCTCTTACCAGCCAATGTAAATTGCACTTCGATCCAGTTAGAACTCAAGGTCCTAGCTTTTTTTGGCTTGGTCTAAGGCTGTGAGAATTTTCAGGAGACGAGCGCTGGAAGACGGATTGCTGCATTAGGGTGAATTGGGGTGTGTATTAAGCTTAATGGCTCTGGATCCTGAGAACTCATGATACGTAGCCTCGGAATTCTTCGTCTTTGCCAGGAGCTGCCCAATGTGAGTGGCCTCAGAATGGCCGAGACTCTATGGAAAAGGTGTGATGCTGGACCCATGGCATTGCACAATCGTGGCGAACCTAGAAAGCCTCGGAGTGATCATAGCCCAAGTTGGCAGTGGGCTCATACCTGCAGTGACAACTGAGCCCACACCTTCTCAATCTACCTAGCTGACATTCGAACAGATATTACGAAAATCCTGACTTACAAGTCAATTGCAGACTACAGTATTTTGGACCTTCATGCGGAATGCCTTCCTACCAACATCAACCGAACACAAATCTTCTCCAATTGTCCCCAAGCCTCCGAACCCCTATTTCTAACTCCCAGCCCTTCACTTCGCAAACATGCCTCACGATCTCCTCCAACCTTCTATCCATCTCCTCCCCCGCAACATGCAGATCACTCTCGACCAGCACCCTCTCCACCGGCACATTTCTAATAACTTCATCCGCCCTCGCCCTCACCTGCTCGGCCATGTTGATCACCGCCGAGAACGAAAAGTAAATATCTGCCGGCGTTGACGGATGAAAATACTGCTTCAGCGGCTCTGGAGGCCCGGAGTATGAATGCAGACATATCCTAGGAGGAAATGGCCTAGGCTCACTATCTGTTGCTGAGACCTCTTCCTCGTCATCTGCTGGCGGCAGTGGGATTCTCGCGACTCGTTCCCGCTCCCTCTTGGTGATGACTTTTTTTTCGAAGCCGCGCCAGGATTCCGAAAGAGTGTCGAAGACGAAACCGTGGGCTTGAACGCCGTGGACTGACACGGGGCGGTTCATTTCTCCGGCGAGCTTGAGCTGTGCTTTCAGTACTGCTTTTTGGTGGGACATTTGGACGCGATGGGGCGTCAATGATCGGCCTTCTCTGCTACCAGGCGTCAAACTATGGTCTCTGAACTCCAGCAACTCTGCAGTCCATGGTCCAGGAAGACGAAAGCCTCTGTCCAGACCTATTTCCCCAACCAGGGCCGTGGGATACTGTTCCAAATACCTCTTCGTCTCTTCGAGAAAGGCCTTCAAAGACCGCGGTTTTGGTAGCGATGCGAGAAAATTAGCATCTTCCGGCTTAGGCGTCAAGACAGCCTGATAATGGCTTCTTTTGAAATCCTCTGTGGCTTCTCGGATAGCGTCGCCAGTATCGTCAAACATCAGATGCGAGAACCACGGATGCCACCCGAAACTCGCTATCACGCATTCCCTCCTCGCGTTATCTATTCCTATTCCCATTGCCATTGCCATTCCCACACTTGGCGGAGACTGCATGATTCCGTACTCATCAGCAAGCTGCGCAACCAAGTCTTGATCTTCGCCTCGCGTGGCCATGACAATCAAGGCACGGGCTTGCATGCCCGGTATGGAAGGGATGTTGCCCATGATGTCTGTGGGATGGCAATGGGCATCGAAAACGCCCAGGTGCCATGGAAAGACATCTTGTGAGTCTGAAACCATTGTCTTTCGTGTCGAGGTTGAAGATGTTGAACTCGGAGTACCTTAAAGACAGGTGGGTCATTTGAACGATCCTTTGACCTTTTGTTTGATGAAACGGTCATTGGACCGCTTAAAATCAGCGCTAGTTCCAAATCAGGAATAGTCTAGCAGTCCCATTGACGGCCACAATCGGATTTTATAGCTATATTCCCTTATAACTCAGTCTCAATTTTTTGAGATAGTCCGGTGATCATCTATATGAGGTATAATCAATCTCTAATACAATACCATCTATTTAAAGATTTAATACGCTCACCATTTCATGAAATGAGAATGTCAATGGACGGTAGTTTATAAAGAGACCGTACGTAGACCGTCCCATAGCCGTGCCTGTTTAGATTTTTAGAATACGCTTATTAAAATTAACAATTCTGTGCCAAGATGTTTCTCGGTAGCGCTACCACCTTGCGAACGTCAACGCTTTCATCGAAATAAATATCAATATCGATCGATTCTTCAAGAGACCCAGAGATACAATTCCCCGCAATTGCTGTTAGCCGAAAAGCATAAAACCGCGGTTTTCGCGTTACGCGTTTTCTATCCTCTTAATACAACTATAACTCAAAAGAAGATTATTGCTATGGAAGGGTTTCGCGCTTATCATATCGATTTAATAGACTGTATATAACGCCCGGGTTCGCACGTCTCCCCACCATTTGGGAGGTCCCAGGACGAGTAGCGCATGCTACGCTCTTTTCCGCCAAACGTTAATAAATTCAGCAACAACAACAATAATAACAACAACAATAATAACAACAACAATAATAACAACAACAATAACAATAACAATAACAACAACAACAACAACAACAACAACAACAATGGTTCCTTTCTTCTATCCTTCCTTCCTCCCTTCTTTCCTTCTTTCCTTCTTTCCTTCGAGCTCTTTCCTCTAAGGTCTTCCCTTCTCATCTCTCATCCCTTCTAGCTCTTCGGTGCTGATGCTGCCAAAGGGCTCAACGCCACCAATCCAGCCACCACCGATACCGGCTCGCCTCCTTCCACCTTTTCATCAGTATTCGTTCACATCTTTCAACAAACCTAACAACGTTCGAAACACTCAGTTCATTCCTCGGCTTCCTCCGCTGCAGGTTCGGGTTTTCCAGCAATCTCATACTTATCCCAATTAATGATCTCGTTCGAAAAATCTAACATCTCTCCTTCTGTTTTCCAGCATTCAAGCCATAGTTCCAACTTATCGTCTTTTATCGTTTCATGTGGAATAACCATTTGCAGGTCATTTTCGTATGATGATAAATATGAAAAGCGTAATGCTTTCTCCGGATCTTCTGGCACATGTTCTTTGATATAACTCAAGAGTACCTCTTCTCTTTGGTACCATAATGGTTTTCCTAATGGCCATTGCTTTTCATCCGCAGAGATTGCTTTTGGGATCCATACTTTGCCGATATCTTCGAGCTTATCACTATCCGCCTTGACAGCACAATACCATTCGTTACTTCTAGCTCGCCACCTAGTAGGTACGTTTGCTATTTAAATTATTAACTCCGCGTAATAAATAACGATTTATGGATATGGATCGACTGACACATATAAAAGCCCCTGCCTAATTGATGAAAAGCCATTCCTCTATCGTATTCTATATTTGGATCGAGCTTATGATTCTCATTGATGTACACGGCTTCCGCCTATAATTCGCGTAATTAATATACTTATATCATATAAATCAAGTGCAACTTACATCAGAAGCTGTTCGGTACCCGATGATTTCCATGTCCCCTTGAGCTCTATTAAAATGAAAGCTCAAGGCTAGCAATATCGAGCAGATAGATGGCGATGATAGCATCATTTTGGAATACCGGAACAATGTTGATGCGAGCTAGCGAAAAGAAATAGGATTGCAAAGGAAAAAGATAATAAGGAAATTGATAGTAAGGAAGGTGATAGTAAAGAAGGTGATGGTCAGGAAGATGATGAAAACAACATGAAGTAGGCTTTCTTTTTTATAATGTATCTCTTTGACCAATTTAACTTTGCTAGTATTAACAATCATATTTGAAATTCCCACGTCGACTATAAATAATCGTGCGGCTGATATAAGTCTTTATCTTTTATTTTCATATCGAAGATCATCTTAATTATAAAATCGATATACCTACACGCTTAGCTGACTATTTATAATATTGCAATCTTCCTTCTTGATTGTATATATAAAAACGATCAACGTAGTACGTAAAAGTAGCATCAGTAGCATTTTTAACGTCATGGCGGGTGGCAGGATCAACGAATACCTAAGCACAGATGTACTTGTAATAATAGGTTGGAATGGGTCGGAGTGAATCGGGTCCACAAACACAATTCTTTAAATAGGGGCCAAAGATTATTGAAATGTACCACGGTACAAGCGTAATTGCCACACCCTTGGGGTGCCTCAAAAGTCTAAATTTTCACTTTAGCCCCTTGATTACCTGGCACCCTCAAGGGTGTAACAATTACGCCTGCGACGTACCCGGTAGTACTACCTTAAAGGCAGGTAGGGGGTTATTTAAACCGTCAGCTGATAATCCGGTGACGGTCTCTTTAAAAGACGATTCCAAGAGGTTAGCATAGTTAGTGGATCACCTTAAGCCGATACTTAAAATTGAATAGAATCTGAAAACAAACAATTTAAATTATTTAAATCGTAGCCAAAATAAAAATATTTCAATCGATTAAATCATCTTTCATAAGAGCTTGTATTTTCGTTAAAAGATTATTATTAAAATACTACTATTTTAATCGATTAAATCGTCGTTTATAAAAGTCGGTCTTTTTACGAAAAGATCGTTTTAAGACCGTTTTGTAGCCGTCTCATAGCCGTCCTATGGCCGTCCCCGAACTTAAAACCGTCCCGAAGAACGTGAATTAATAAGCAAGTAATCTCTATTTTCTTTCAATTGCTTAGCAGTCTACCCTTTACTAGGTATACCACCCTCTTACTACATAACCTCCTTACTATACCATCCCCTCTGATAAGCGAATAAAGCGCATCACTCGCGCGCGTGAACTTTTGCTAAATCGATCGATTCCGATTATAAAAAATTTAAAGCGTTGATATACAAGCCGTAGTAGCGATACTAAGAAATATTTTAGCATCGAACTTATTAAATTATTATTAAAACGATTCCATTAAAAAGATAATTTTTATCTACAATTATATTATTTTAAAAATAGTTATCGAATTATTTCAATTTTTTAAAACGAGCTTATTAATAAGCTTATTTTAAAAATATAAACGAGAACGGCCATAGGACGGCCATAGGACGGTCCCAAGCTCGGGGACGATCAAAAAGATAAATTATTCCTGATTTGTAACTAGTACTGATTTTAAACGGTCCAATAACCGTCTTTTATAAAAGAGGGTCAGAGGACCGCTCAAATTTTTACCCCACACTTCCTTGGGTGGTCTGAGCATTAGAGGGTCCGATCACATGCATCTCCCGTGACATTATACCATTTATATCATATCATGCATTCCTTTCCTTTCCCATCCAACTTCGATTCTCATTTTCCAAGCGCCGACATCAACAAGAATGTCTCCTTTTCTCTTCGATTGCTAGGTAGAATATTCACTTCCAATTTACACCCTCCCATCATCTTTTTCTCCTCTCCTAATCTACACATCATGGGCATCGTCAATCCACTCGACGCCCTCATCCTCCCCTTCATCTTCCTCTTCACGCTCCCCGTCGCCTTCGTCGCAACACTGACTACCATTATCTCCATCTCCATCCTCTTTCTGCGCGTGCTAGTCGTCTATGGTATGATATCACATCCTCGTTATTCCTCGATCAAAACTTCCACCATGACACCGTATCAATGTCGACATCAATACTAATCCATATCCCCTCTCTCTCCACAGTGGAACTAGCCCTTGCCGTCATCCCCTCCTATATCCTGGGCGAGCACTCTCCATCCAACCCCCATATCCTCCCACGCCCAAAATCTTTCTCGACGCTTTATCCCCATTCCCATTCCAATCCTTACCCTCATCCTCACTCGCACCCCCACTCCCCCTACACAAGCCGCCGCAAACACCGCCGCAGCAGCACCAGCAGCACCCTCTCGGCCGCTGGCAGCATCACGCCCATCTCAGGAGACGCTGGCATCGGACTCGGACTAAGCCAAAACCAGAACTCAGCCCCGAACCAAAGTCAAAGCCAGGGCCCAAGTCAGAGCATTGGGATAAACCCAGCGCGCGACTACGAAGGCGTTGGGGGCTGGCGCCTCGACAACAACCCTAGCGATGACGACGGCCTCTGGACGAATATCAACTCGCGGCTGGAGCTGCCGGCAGACTTTGGGAGGCGGCATTCGCAACAGCAACAGCACCAGCGGAGTCGGAGTGGTGGGAGCGTGAATGGCATGAATACGGGGAGAGTGAGGACGTCGCCAGGTCTGGGTTTTGGCAGTGGAAGCGGGAATGGGAGTGGGCATGGGGAGGCAGGGAATTTTGCGGATGGGGGGTTCCTGCAGCAGCAGATGGCGATGATGATTCCTGGGGGGAAGGGGAGGAGAGGGAGTGTGGCGGGTATGAGTACGGGGAGTAGTACTAGTTCGAAGGGGAGCTGGACGGGGGGCATGGTTATGAAGGGAAGATAGGGGAGGTAGTGGGAGGGAGGGGAGAGAAATGAGGGCGGGCAGTGGATGAGTGACGAGTTATGACTGCGATGTTTATGAGTGGGATATATGTGGTGTTTGGGAGCTAGGTATGTACGGGCTGGGTTACCTGACTGGGAAGGTGGCTGAATGTCGGCTTGGAGTATGGGATCTTTTGGAAAGGAGTTGGATATCGATTCCAATCTGTGGCATGGCTGCATATAGCATGTCGAGAAAAGGTTTGTGTTTGCTACTCTCCTGTAAAAACATAAAACCTGCTTTCATGCATCCAAAATAAAAAAGGCCATTTACGAAGGGTAAAATCAATCGTGGTATCTATCCAACTGCAATCAGACCCCATCCCAAAACTCCACCTACTCATTTTTAGCAAACTCCAATCTCCGATTCCCAGTGCCCGATTCTCAGTGCGAGCCCGAAAGCAGTCTTCCCCGCTCCTACAACTGCTGCCAAAAGTAGTTCGCATAAAAGAAGCGCGAGAACTTATTGTCCACGTTCACGATATTCACATCCCCCTTCCCCATATTCCGAATGATCGCCTTGCAGTACTCGCCCTCGGCATCCCTCTCCAGCTCAATGCCCAAGCCGCGATAGACCTTCAGCTTGAGGCTGACCTCGTCGTCCACGAGCGCCCGCCTCTCGCCTCCACCCACGCCCTGCAGCTCCAGCTCCTGCAGGCGCGCCTGCAGGTCCGCGAGCTGCGACGAGAGACGCTCCGACTCGACCTCGAGGTCCGAAGCGGACTTTGCGATGCGGAACTTCTGCGTGTCGAGCGTGGCGACCTCCGAGGCGTGGAGGGTCGGGGAGTGCGTGGAGAGGTTCTCGCTGTGGTGCGCCGAGAGAGTGTGCAGGGTGCGGGCGAGTTCTGTTTGTGTTTTCGTTAGCGGCCCGTTGGTTTTTTCCCCCCCTACTTTTCAGGTTTGGGGTTTAGATGGGGAGGGGCAGCTACTTTTCAAAGCGCTCTCGGCTTCTCGTACCCGCAAGTCTCGCGCTTGCTGTAGCGTTGAGAGGGACTCGTTGACGCGTGCGACGGCTTGCTTGTCGGGCTGGATGTTGAAGTTCTCGATGGTGTGGCGGATGAGCTGTTTCGTTTGCCTGGTTAGAAGACGATGCGCTCTTGTAAGGATTGGGTAGAGGAGCCACGCACAGTGGTGGGATCTTCGTCGAGAAGCATCTTGGCGAGTTGGAGGTATGTATTGATGTGTAAACGCGAGGCGAATGTTCGTGTGATGCGATGTGCAAAGGTCGGATGCGAATTGCGCTGTAAGTCCCATCCAGTGTTGATTCTGTCAGATCTACGCTATGCTGACCCAGCAACGCCGTGACGTAGCACTTATGGGAAGCAGAGTCACAAGCCACACTTGGATTCAGCGCCACTTCTTCAACTCCATAGTCAGAAAATAAAGTCAAAGTCAAGTTAACATCGCCACTTCCTCTCAGTCACACAGTCTCCTAGGAAAGATTGTCACGGATAGACTACTGGGTTTCTCAAGATGACCGGCTCTTCACTTCCATGTGAGTAATGGACGACCATGGCGTTTTGGACACGAAGCTGCATACCCGTTTCGCCATCTTTCTCTATACCTTCCAACTTGAGACAGCCATGCTAACGAACCGGGTGCACTTAGACGCTGCCGATGCGGAAAGGTCGGTTGTCCTTCTCCCAGGAAATGATCGAGCTTCGTTCAGAGGCAACGCGATCGTGAAGGGACACAAATATACTGACTGACTTGGGGATAGTCCGCTGAAGCCTGCTGAGCTGCAAGTCTTAAGGTCGCAGTACGAGAAGGAGGGAGAGTACGTGGGCGTGCAGACGAAATTCAACTTTGCTTGGGTATGAACCTTTCAATTTCGATATCTCGGAGTCGTTACGGGCAAAGGAGGTCCTAACGAGAGCTGTCTTTAGGGCCTTATCAAGTCCAACACCCGCGCCGATCAGCAAGAGGGCGTCCGCCTCCTTTCAGACATCTTCCGCAGCTCGCCCGAACGCCGCCGCGAATGCCTCTACTACCTCGCGCTGGGTAACTACAAGCTGGGCAACTACGCAGAAGCGCGGCGGTACAACGACCTGCTGCTTGACAAAGAGCCAGCAAACCTGCAGGCGACTAGTTTGAGAGGATTAATCGATGATAAGGTTGCGAAGGAAGGGCTGATGGGCGTGGCGATCTTGAGTGGTGTTGCTATCGCGGCCGGGGTTGTGGGTGGAATTATTTTCAAGGGGATTGGAAAGAGGACGAGATAATTGAGGTGAAGTGGTGTTGGGGTGGAGTGGAGAGGGGGGTGGGAATAAGGAGGCTTTATTGTAGGATGGATGGGGGATGGGTGGAGGAGATTGTTGATATACCAAGTAGTTGCCGACGATCTAATGGCGTTCGGCGTTCGTTTGCTTGTTTAATTCGATTTGGCGTTGTGGCCAGGACTCGTGTTCCCAGACGTGCGCCTACCTACCGGTACCTTACTGTAGATAGCGTTCCCGCGTTCCGAAGTGGCGGGATGGATTCACTGTTTTCGTTCAGAAGCCTAGCTAGCCCGTTCGGCGAGTTCGGAAGAGACTCGTTCTTGATTCACGAATGTCTGATGCGATCTCAAGCCACACGATATCTCCAGTACCAAGCCCGACCTCATACAGCTCTTAGTAAAGTCGGTAGATTGTACTGTACCGGTAGATAAGTATAACTAACTACCTTCCTTACCTACCTCGAGAACGAGAATCCGGTAGTGTTCGGAGGAACAAAGAACTTTCGCTTCGCTTCCTTCACATTCGCCCCTGGTCCACCGTTCTGCCATCGCCGACAGGGGTGCTAGACCTGCGTCACTCCAATGCCAATCAGCACCTCACACTTCACGAAAGCCCAACTGATTGAATGACCGTCTGACTGACCTCTCCAAGCACAACACAACACAACATCTCAGCATCGTTCCCTTTCCCTACAACCTATCAACACCACAGCATAGCACAGCCTCTTCTCCTTGCCACAACCCCCGGGACCTACGTTCACTGTTCTTCTCGACACTCCTTCACACCACATCTTCTTGACACCGGCAACCTCTCACACCGACCTGGTTATCAAGCTCCAGCTCAGCCCAGCATAACAACCTACAAGGCCAGCTCGAGCCCCCCCCCCCCCACCAGTATCGATTGCGCGTTGTCACTCCGTCTGTAACCGAACAAACAGGCGGACTTTATATCAACCAAACCAAGCTACTTACTTTGGATTGTGCCATCTGGCCACGAAACATCCTTCACTGTGGCGTTCAGAGCACTGCAGCTGACGGGCCTGGCACTGAGCCTCGGAATCACTGCCCTAGCCGCATATCAAGGCATTCGAGACGCCATGGCAGAGAACCCGGGGAGAGCAGGCCGCGGGGGCGGACGTCTGGATGCGTCGGGCCCAAGAGAGGTGGTGTTTTGTCATCAGTGCGAGCATGAGTGGTGGCGGGATCAGAACGGGTTGGCGTGTCCGAGATGCGAGGGGGAGATTACGGAGATTGTATGTATATCATCAGGCCTGGGCTATCGTTCTGATCGATTTCTAACTATTGCACAGGTAACCACAGAGAGCGATCCTCGACCCGAGCATTATGGCCAACCTCCACCAGTCGACGGTGGCTGGGGAGGACGGCATAACCCTGTCGAGATCGACTCCGATCCAGAGGAGGCAGATATCGAGGAGCATGTCACACATGGGCCAGGAGGCTCTGTGATGTTTTCCAGAACATACAGATCTACCGCCCCAGGTCCTAGATTTATCGCGACTCACATTCGCAGAACCGGTCAAGATGACAATCCAGATCCTATCATGCGGAATTTCCAGGACTTGATCGGTAGCTTCATGGGCCCTGATTTCCGACCTGGACCAGCAGGCAGATCTGGAGTCAACACTCTATTTCCCCAGCCACCTGATTTCGGTAGCGGATTCCGAGGAGGTAATAATGGGCCAGGACCAGCTATCGTCGGCGGACACTATACATTCGTGAACGGAAACCTGGTTGGTGGCGAGCCTTTGCAGCCAAGAAATGCAGATGGACCACAGCAAGCGGGAGGCCCGATTGATCTAGCCACGTACGCAATTCCTCTCAACCCCAATTTTCCCCATGGCCGTGCCTTTCATGTTATTAGACTCAGAGCATCTCCTGACCAGCTTGCCAGACTCCTCGGAGGCGTGTTCGGCCAACAAAATGGTCCGCAAAACGCTGCTGGTATGCCTCCTGGCCTTCGTGGTCTCTTCGCTGCTATGATAAACCCTGTCAATGCTCGTTCGGGAGATGCTGTCTACTCTCAAGAAGCTCTAGATCAAATAATCTCTACATTGATGGAGCAACAATCTACATCCAACGCACCCGGTCCCGCATCACCAGACGCCATCTCCTCACTCCCAAAGAAGAACCTAGATGAGAAGGAACTCGGTCCAGAAGGTAAAGGCGAGTGTAGCGTATGTATGGATGACGTCACGTTCGGCACTGAAGTCGTAGTCCTACCTTGCTCGCACTGGTTTCACGAGACCTGTGCTAGCGCCTGGCTGAGCGAGCACAACACCTGTCCCATATGCAGAAAAGGCATTGAGAACTCAACCGCCGAATCCGCATCTCAATTCCGACGTCCTAGTCAGAGTAGTCCGACAACCCGCAACGGAGCCCGCGCTCGCCGACTCAGCAATAACAGACCGCGATTGGACCGCTTCAACTCGTCTTCGACGCGGGAAGCGAGACTAGACTCTATCCGCAACAGTGGTCGCTTGTCGCCTACCAATACTGGAGAGCCACAAAATGAGAGAGGAAATGGGCCCGATATGGGTGTGCCGCGGTGGGATGCCGATACAGGTGCACCTCGGTTCACTTGGGGTCATGAGTTTAACCAGCCGCCTCCGCCGCCGCCGAGGAGACGGGGAACGGATCGCTCAGATATGAGTGAGACGCAAAGAGATAGTCGGAGAGGCTACACGAATACTGCGGAGTCGCGGAGGTCTTCGAACTCTGCTAATAGCACCGGTGGCGGTAACGGTGGTCCTATGGGGTGGTTACGGGATCGGTTTGGGGGTGGGGGTCGGAGGGACTGAGTGATGACTATGGATCTCCTAAAATTCTTGCCTGCTCTCTACTGCCAGAATGACAAAGGAGGGAACAAGCTGAAGAAAGGAGCACGTTATCTTGAAATCTCTTTTGCTTGCATTATTTGCGATCTGCATTGGTGGCGTTTGGGCCTGAGCCGTCCTGAACATTTGGGGTCTGAGATGCGCTTGGCTATGAACTGTGAGCTGTGAGCTGTGAGCAGCTAAGAGGTAGCGAACGAGCGAGCGAGATCTTTTTCTTGTTGATATATGTATGCAGGTCGTAGATTACAACGGCGTACGTCGTCGTGAAGCACGACGGCCCGATCGATGGACTGATCAATACGGAAGATTGTGAATGTCGCTTGGGGTCTCGTTCTTGCGTGAGTTGTTTCATTCTTGCGTGAGTTGAAGAAGTGATTTCCTATCTGCCCCTGGGTAGGGTATGCGCGTGAATATTAGGTTTCTGGATCTTCAATTGAAATGGGGATGGATTGGCTCGTGGTATGATATATTGAGCGCGCGAATACTCGAGTGGGCAGGGCAGGCAGCAAAGGTAGGCAGGTAGGTAGGCTTTTTTTCTTTTCTTTTTTTTCTTAAGTTCTGCGCATCATACCATATCTACAAAAGCTGTTCTTTGAATTACGATGGTATAACTTTACTCCCAATCTTGGGGTAGAGGTCGACTCTCGAGCGTTGAGAGTTGAATATTACCTTTTTTTTGGTGCTGTCTTTCCTTTTTTTTCCTTTTTTTTTCCCCCGCAGACATGTATGTATGTGTGAATATATATATATATATATATGTCTTGTACAAATACCAAGCCGTCTGCGTACTCCTCCTACTATTACTACTATAGATACGTGAGCAAGACAGAGACGCGCGTCCGCGGATCCGTGCTGCTTCTCGCCTTCGCTCATGAGGCGCATTGTCTCGATCATGTTTACTATTTGGGTTCGGGAGTGGAATATGTGTTCGCGCTTACCTTGTCTAGTCTTATCTCTTTTTCGTAAAAGTTTTCGAAATTTTTTGTCGGCTCGGTCGCTTGCTGGGAGATAGCCGAGATAAAGGGAGGATTCGAAAGTAAACAATCAAACATCGCAGACCTTTCTTACGTCCCCAACAATTCATGAGCATTTCTTCTCAGGCTGAATATCTCCAACGAAAAATAGTCCATCTTCAATGCCCTGCAACATCCTGCCTTCCACGAACTAAACTAACTTACTTTTCGTCTTCCTCTCAACGAAACACACTCTTGGCAGGATAAAGTCGGTTTATTCCGCTCTTGTTTCTTCTCAGGCGGCTCAGAGGATTTTCCATTCTCGTAATTCATCAGCGTGCCGGGTCCTTGATTATAACCAGGACTAGGTGCCTATCCGTCAACGTACTACCGGTATCTGGAGGTGAGATTGCCATGATAGCTACGGGCAAGACTGCAGCCAGGTACGGTACGGAGTGGAGTCCATGGCGACCTCTACATTTTCACGAGACGTTGTTTTGTCAAAATTCAAAAAAATTGGTGACTGGAAATGAAAATCCGTGGAGCGGGAACAGAAAAAAATACTACGTAGATAGATAGACAGAGATAGAGGGGGATACACCATGCGGGGTAAAAATAGGAAAGTATAAAGTTGCTTTTATTAAAGCCGATAAATCTTATTATCGCCGAAATCACGAAACGGCCTTGGCACTTACCAACATGGCAGGGGTGCGAAAGTGGTTCCAGTCGCCCATCGATCGCGTCGTCGCGTCAAGTCCAAGAATCCCTTCCACACAACGAACAATCCGATGGACCTGACCTCGTCGCCAATTCTACCTCTGACTTCTGATCCGGCACTCTGCGACGATTGGGAAGAGCAACTTGACAACTCGAAAATACCTTTCAGCACGAACTCGGACGACTTTGAAGCTCTACATATCATCCAACAGGAGACCATTTCTAGGAAGAACAAGGCAAGAGAAGTTGTACAGCATAGGGTATGCCAGAACACAGATACTGCTTTTTGGAGCGTTCAACCCTGACTTCGACAGGCGTGGTCACTTCTGGACGTATTTCGGAGTGAGGCAGATCATATTGACGGTAACTCGCCCATGGCAGATTGAGGACTCAGTCAATACTGAACTTTACCAGAAAGTCCTGTACGATCACGTTCAAACAATAACTACTTTCCATTTACATCGTCTCCGCCAAAACTCAAGATGCCTTCTGTGTCCTCACCAGTAGCGTATCCCCCAAGCTCCTCCCCACCGCAAGTAAAACGTTCGCGTCCAGTCCAGCCCGCAGAGGCCCGAAAGCCGAGAACTATTGGAGGTTTTCTCCCAGAAGAAGACTCGGACGAAGATGATTTCTCGAGAGCGGAGCCTCCCCCGAAGAGAAGGATGCTAGACAATGGAAGGTCACCGAGTCCAGAACTTCAACACGACACAACAAAAGAATTCCCGACGGAGCACCCAGAGCCAGTGGCACAAGATGGTGGGCCTGTTGGCGGAATGCCAATCGAAAATTGCGAGCAGCTCATTCCAGTTACGCTCGGCGAGCCTCCGGCCACTGCGCCTATACCAGATGCCCCCGGAACTGTCGATGACATTGCTCTACCTTCATTTCTAAGCAAGCGAATGAAAAAGTCTGCCGAGGTGGTGACATGCTCTGGCAAATCAGTATCGATTCAGCAGCGTAAAAAAGATGCCAGCATTCCTTTCGAACAATTGGTTGCAGCTAGATCTACTGTCAAGGCTGGTCGGGCCAAGAAGAGCTTTTATGGAATCGATATCCACAGCTTGATTGACGAAGCATCGAAAGAGACTACCAAAGCCAAAGCGGCAAAAGGAACGTCAAAGGATAATCTCCTACCGTCAGTGGAGGGATCGAGCACGAAACTAAAGACAAGGAGGACTCTCATGTGGACCGAGAAGTACCGGGCAAGAAGCTTTATGGAGCTCGTGGGCGATGACCGGACACATCGACAAGTTCTGAAATGGCTTAAGGCTTGGGACCCTCTTGTGTTTCCCAAGGCAGGTAAAACGAAAGCAGCTGTACCATCGAAACCCGGATTTCAAGACGACGAAAAGGCCCATCGGAAGATTCTATTGTTGACTGGACCCCCTGGACTTGGAAAAACTACTCTAGCACATGTCTGTGCTCGACAAGCTGGTTACGAAGTTATGGAGATCAATGCCAGTGATGAGAGAAGCAGTAATGTCGTGAAAAACCGGATACGAACGAGTGTTGGTACCGAGAGCGTGAAAACAGGTTCGACGATCACTTCGAAATCCGGCCATGTACAGAAAGTTGCTCATCCGCTCTGCGTTGTTGTCGATGAGGTAGACGGTGTGGTTGGTGGCTCCGGTGGATCTGGAGAAGGTGGATTCATCAAAGCCTTGATTGACCTGATTCAACTAGACCAGAAGAACACTACCACTGTCAACCAAAATCTCGGATATACGAAGAAAAAGAAGAAAGGTGACGACTTTAAGCTAATGCGACCCATCATCCTTATCTGTAACGATGTCTATCACCCATCTCTCCGGCCCATACGCCAGTCCAGTTTCGCTGAAATAATCCATGTACGAAAACCTCCCTTGGATGCAGTGGTCGCACGCATGAAATCTGTATTCGATAAAGAAGGGGTTCCGTGTGACAACGATGGTGTCCGAAGATTGTGCGAGGCTGCTTGGGGAGTCAGTCCGACCGAATCACGCAAGGGCAAGGAAAGTTCTGGGGAGGGAGATCTACGAGGTATTATGGTAGTAGGCGAGTGGGCAGCGAGGAAGCTAAAAGCTTCAAAGAAGGACGGTACAGCAAAACTTACACGAAAATGGGTTGAGCAAAATATGACAAGCGATCTCGGTCATGGTGGAGGAGGAGCTCGTGGTGTCGGGCGAGGGGGCACCAAAGACCTGGTAAACAGGGTATTCTTGGAGGGAGCAGGGTTTCCAAGAACCACGAACGCAGGACCTATGCTTGTTTCGGTAGAGGGCCAGCCTCAAGCCCAACTCGGAGTTGCAGAAATAGCCAAGAGGGCTGGTATGGACAGGCTGCGAGAGATGGTTGACACCAGTGGAGAAATAGATCGCATAGTGACAGATATCTGGTCTCAATATCCCCGCCAGCCCTTTAACGATGACTCCATAATGTCGAAGCCGGATGCTGCATATGAGTGGCTGCACTTTCACGACACCTGCTCTGCCCGGGTCTTCAATTCCCAAGAATTCGAATTATCACCTTACCTGAGCCAACCTGTTCTAGCATGTCATCACTTGTTCTCGTCTCCTGCTCGCCATTACTTTGGTGGAAACGAGGACAAGAAATGGGGCGACGAAGAGGTAGAAGAGGAGCCGCTCCCATTTTCTGGACCCAGAGCAGACTACGAAGCGCACGAAGCAGAGAAATCAAACCGCGCGACTATACTTGCTCTGCAAGCTAGCCTCGATGCAACACTATCGAGAAGTTTCAGAAGTCCCGAGGAAATTGCCACAGATCTGTTGCCCTATCTCGTCAGGATGCTTACTCCAGAAATCAAGCCCATCATTGTAGGTGGTAGCGGTGACCAGAAAGGCATAGCCAGTGTCCGAAAGGAGGCGGAAAAGGCAATGGTGAAACGATCTGTGGATGTGATGGGATCGGTGGGAGTCATTTTTGAACGCGGGAAGCTCGAAAGCGATTTTGGGAACAGGGCGCCTACTTGGGTGTATCGTATGGAGCCGTAAGTTAGAGCTCACTCAAGATCTGCTCCCACTGGCTAACTTTGATAGACCACTGGATACGCTGGTTCTATTCGAGACCGCTGTCATCTCCTCGGGAGCACCTCCTCCAGTCCGCTACGCAGTCCGACAAGTACTGGACCAAGAGTACCAGAAGAATATTATCGTTCGCGAAAACGCCATGAGGCAAGCACGTTACAAAGCTGGGAATCAAGGCGATGATGCCGAGTTTTCGATCGCTGCCAAGGGGGACAAAGGACATCATGTTACAGAGATGGTGGTTGGAGCCAAGAAAGACTTCTTTGGCAGGGAGATAAGCGAGGATAACATGCCGTCGCAGGAGATCGATGGGAATGCTGAGGGCGAGGGAAGGAAAAGGAGGAAGACCGGGGTGAAGGATGATAACAAGGTGTGGGTTAGTTTCCATGAGGGGTTCTCGAATGCGGTACGGAAACCGATCACCGTGGAGGAGCTGCTGAGAGGACTGTAAGGAGGGAGGATGATACAATCAATGAGTACTTGTGACCGCGAGTAGCCCTTCGCAAGATAAAGCTTGCATTTTTTTTGTAAGTCACATGATCTGCCTAGCTATCTACTTATTATATATCCACTCTCGCCGGACACACCATCGATCTAGTGGCCAGCGGCCATGGCAGCCTCCTTGTCCTTGGCCACCTTCGCCACTGCAGGTCTCTTCATCAGCTTCTGGTGCCAGGCAAAGTACAGCGGGTAGTCCTTCTCGATGTTGGGGGTTTTGTCGCCCATGATCCACGGCACGACCATATCCCAGGTAACGAAAGCCAAGTCGGCGATGGTCCTTTCCCGAGGGCAGTCAAGTCAGCCATTCATTCATTCATCCATCCATCCATTCTGCACCAATTCCCCCACCCGATCTTTTGGGAGAGAAAAAGAGGGGGGTGGCGGGGGGGAGAGAGAGACAACATACACCTTATCCCCAACCAGGTACTCCTTCCCCGTAGTCCGCAGGTGGTTGTCAATAACCTGCAGCACGCGCGTGACCTGGGCGTTGTAGCGTTCGATCGCGCTCTGGACAGTCTCGGGGTGGAACTTGTTGAACCAGGCCGCCTGGCCGAAGTAGGGGCCCTGGCCGCTCATCTGGAAGTGCAGCCACTGCTTCACCAGGTAGCGCTCGGGCGCGGGCGCGGCGTAGCTCAGCGCGTTGGCCGCGTCGTACGTCTCCTGCAGGTACTCGATGATGGCGCCGGACTCCCACAGGGTGATGCCCGTGTTGGGGTCCTCGATGGCGGGCACGCGGCCGTTGACGTTGATCTTTTCAAAGGGGGGCTTCTTGAGGTCGGCCATGTCTGGAGAGGGGGAGAAGGAGGGAAGGGGGGTCTTGTTAGTTGGTTGGTGGTACTTTGGGTTGGGAGGAGAAGGAGGAAGGAAAGAGAAACGAACCCATTATCTTTTGCGTGTATGGGATTCCGAGCTCCTCCAAGATGATGGCGACCTTCCACGGATTTGGCCCGGAAGCTATCAGTCAGTCAGTCAGTCATTCAATCAGTCAGTCCAGAAGAAGAAAAGGGCTCTGGACGTATCCGCGCGAGCTGCTTGCTACTGACCGTGGCCGTAAAGAGTGATAGGCTTCGTCATGATTCGATTTGCAGCTGGTATATAAACAAACGTATGATCGATCGAAAGACAGGTTGGACCGCTCGCTCTCTTCTCTCTTTTCCCTCTCTCTCTTCTTCTCTTATTTCGTCAATGGTAGAGGTTCGAGAGGACCTAGGATTTGCTCATTCCCGAGATATCACTGCGTACTCTTGCGCGCGCGCGTCTGGGTTGGCCTCTATTTACATATATACCTACGTGTGGTACGTAGACCCCACCGCGAGGAGAATTTGACTTTCCCTCTTCCCGATCTAGCCTGTGCTTTCATGACTTCATGTGGGGGATTTCACGGAGCTCTGGATCTCATCTGCCGATCCCGATCAGCATAATTCGCTTCATATTGAATTGATCAACAGCCGGTAACGTACTGCAGTAGCTCCACGCGCGTTGCTTTGATGAGAGAGAGGGGTAAGGGGGGCGTTGTTGTTGTTTTTCTATGACGTGTATCCTAGCGCTTAGCGAGTGGATGTGGCGGTGAGAAAGAAGAGGCGTTGTATTGCATACCTAGATACGTACTGTAGATAGGTACATAGATATCATGTGGAGTATCGTTAATTCGATTTTCTATGTGAGAGGGGGAGGGACGGGGGGCTTCCTGTGTTTGTTGGTTGGTTGGTTGGTTGGTTGGTTGGTTACTACCCTAAAGGCAGGTGGGGGAGGGGGAGGAGGTGGCATTTGAACGGTCCTCTGACCCTTTTCTTTAAGAAGACGGCCCTTGGAGCGATGAGAATCAGTACTAATTCTTATCCAAGAACAATCTACTTTCTTGACCGTCCTACCAAAGGAGGACCATTTGAAGACCGTCTTACGACTATATCCGTTTGAAATTTCAAATCGTAATTGTTGATAAAACCGTCTCGTAAAAAGAAACAGTTGTTAAATCGTCTCCGACCCTTAAGACCGTCCTCGAGCCAAAACCGTCTGATATTTCTATACCGTCCCAAACCTCCATACCGTCCCCCTTGAAGTTTTTAGCTATTAAGCCGATATTTGTGCCAAGATATTCTTCGGTGTCGCTACCACCTTACGAACGTCAACGCTTTCGTCGATTGAATAATAAAATCGATCAATTCAGCGAAATTTAACCTGGCCTCGCAACGGCTGAGTGCAAGCAGCAAATCCTCTGCTTATTAATATATGTTCTTGGGAGCGTTCTCTAGTTCGGAAGACGGTTTTAAGACGGGCCTTAAGACGATCTCAAGATGGTCTTTTCGTAACAAAAACCGGACTTCATAAACGACGATTTAATCGATCAAAGATATCTTAACTTGAAATATATATATATATATATATATATCTCTAAAAAGACGGACTCCCATAAAAGATAACCCAATCAATTAAATCGATTCCATCTCAGGTACTATTTACACTAATTTAGACCCGTTACTTATTACATACGATCTTGTTCCAGGTCTTGACGACGAATAGTCCACTGACCCCTTATCTGCCCTTTGAGGAATATTTCTGCTACTGCGGAGAGAGGGATGGATGGATGGATGGATGGATGGATGGATGGATGGAGCACCCTGAATGAAGTGCTCTAATAAAATTCCGCCTTCCGAAAAGTGGAAAAGAAAACAAAGGAGAGAGTTTTGGGCGAGGACTTGGGCGTTGGGAAGTGAAAGAGGGATAGGGTTCATCGCGGGGAAAGATATATTACTAGGTAGAAGGTGCTTGTTTTGAATATATATATATACATACTGGATGAGGTAGGGGAGAGGGGTCCCGTCAAAGCTAAATATTTCGTGGGGAGAGGTGTTTGTTTTGAATATATATATATACATTTATATATATACAGGATAAGGTAGGGGATAGGGGTCTCACCAAAGCTACGTAAACCTTTCGTGCAAGCGAAGGTTTGATTTATTATACAAGGCGGCGGGCATCTGGTACGTAGTAGATCGGGGAGCACGATGAAACCCCTCGAGATGACAAAACTTTGAGAAGTTGAAAAGCCTTGAATGGGGCTTCTTCTCAGAAAATCGATACTTGTAAAGTTATCCTTCCGCTTCTCGTTTGGTATAGCGCTCTCGCGTCCGGATTCCGAAGGTCTAGCTAGGGCATTTGGTTCGCAATGCCGAGGATCGTTCGCTCGTCGCGCCTAGCTTTGATCGGTGCGGAATGGGACCAATCGGGTAGGTATCCTCACGTAGCATAATTCAGCTGATCGTCGGATTCGCTTCCCTTTAAGTATGTCGCGAAGTAAAACGATATTAACCGCGCGACCTTTGCCTCTTATCAGGTCAAGATTGTAGAACAAGGCTTAGCGTTATTAAGTACCACTCCATTTGCACATGAGCCTTCGATACTGGGATGTGTGGATCATATGAGGTAGACACTGCTTTTCTTTTATTGCAGGTGTCTGGTTTCGAGAAGAGTTTTCGAGGGGGGTTTTTTTTTTCCAAGGTAATAATTTCTAGACCCCCTTTTTTTTAACCAGACGCGAATTCGGTCAATTAGAAACTGTGAAAACTGAAAGCACCCTGGAAACAGGACTTGAGAGAGTTGGTTCCCAGACGCGCCCTGGGTAATATAATATAGCATATTATAACATATTATAACATAACACGCTTGCTTCCCGTATATATACCTTACATATATGTGCGTGTGTATGTGTGTGTGTGTGTTTTTCAAGTCTCTCGGGCCTCGGCGTGGAGAGCAAGCTTCCCAAGAGGTCGAACAGGAGTAAGCAATCTAATGTATGCAGACCAATCCTTTGTTTTTCTTTTCTTCCTTGGTCAAGACCCTAAGCAATTTGGTACGTGCTATCCACCCACCTCGTCTTGGGCAGGGAAGATGAGGCTTTACTGCTGCTGCTGCTCCTAGGACGTAGAGGAGCAGAGAGTTGAGCACCAAGATTTTAAGAGGATGCTGAAGAGTGAAAATGGAATGATCAAATCTGAACCTCGACAAGCGCGCAACCGTCGTCGGATCACTAACCGTGCGCCAATATACTACGTACTGTAAGGCAAGCCCTGTCGGCGGCTACTCAACCTGAGACTGAGAGTAGCCGACAGAGCTTGCCTTATATTGGCGCACGGTTCCTAGCGAGAAAGAAGCCTGCAAGGCACGAAACAGTAGATGAGGAAGCTTCTTCTTCTTCTTCTTCTCTTTTTTCTCTATCCCGGATTCTGGACTAGGGGTCTTGTTTCCGTCCGGTATGCTCTTGGAAGCTGTTTGCGGGGCGGAGTCAGAGCTGGATGGCTGGCATAGGTGTGGAAGAACACCCGTCCGATGAAGATTTTTATGGGATGACGAGTGCGGTAGGGCAAAATGGATAGTCGGATTTCCTTTTCTTTTTCTTGATCGCGCGCCAGCCGGAGAAGGGAAATGTCGACGTAGGGGCACACTGGTTTGAGTTTTCAGATTTCACATTCACAACATGCCTCCTCGACATTGATTCCGACCGGGGCTGGAACGGATCATTTCAGGTTTTGAATTGACAACATATAGGGTGATATATACAGAGAAAGAGCCACCAGGGAAGTCTCATGAGTGGCGCCCACCGCCCTGGCTGAGATCATTGAGTGTAGGATTTACTCGCATTTCTCCTCCTCCTCCTCCTCCTCCTCCTTCGTTTCAACAGTTTTCGCGGGATTGCTGGTTGACTTATCGGCGACGGCAGGCGCGGTGACGGCAGGCGCGGTGACGGCGACATCAGGCTTTGCTACTGCTGGAGTCGCTGGAGTCGCTGGGGTGGGGGGGCTGGTACCTGGGGCTGCCCCCCCTGGTCCAGAAACGCTGAGAGTGATCTCGCCAGACTCGACGTAGACACCTGAGAAGTAGATATCCTCGACGGCGAACGGGTAACCGTCACGGGGCAGCTCGAGCATACCCAAATGCCAGTCCTTGCCGTCCGACCTGGCCTGCACGGTGACGGCTGGCACGGTAAGAACCAAGTCTTCGGCACCTGTAGAGTGGTAGAATGCCACAGAGCCCGCGTCAAAGTCAATGGCGTAGGCCACATTGTGCCACACGTCGGCTTCCCAGGTCACGTTCCACCTATGACACAGTCAGAATGGAAGGAAGATGTACCGTCAACGGGTTTACTTACTCAGTCGAACCACTGACAACCCATCTCAGGAGAGAATCAGTGGTGCCGGGGGCTCCGCTTTGCCATCCACTCTTCATCTCGACGAAGTGGCTCTCGAAGAAAGCGATTTGGTGCTCGTGGGCCTCGCTTGGGGGGTTCACGGACGATCGCGACATGCTGAAGTGGTAGAAGACCTTTCCAGCATTGATAGCCGCGGTGGTCTGGGGAATGAGTTCTGTTCGTCTCATGGTCTGGCCGTTCCAGAAAGAAGTGTCGTCCAGAGTGAGCTTGACACCTTTGGTGCTACCTGTATCGGCAGGGTTCTTGTTCGCTGCGTCCAGGTTGACATAAGAATCGATTGGACTGGGGCCATGGATGTAGTATTGGTAAGGACCGACTTGGTTTGACCACGACCAGGCACCAATCGCCGCTACGGAGTCAACATCGTTGAAGCGACCATCCCAAAGAATAGTACCTGCCAAGGCAACGCTGATGGAGTTGAGAAGGACGAAGGGGCGAATCATCTTGTATGATGTTTGTTTTGTGGATAGTGACGGTGATGGTGATGGTGATGGTGATTTTGATAGTGAGGTGGAGATGAAGTGTGCTATAAATATGCACAACTAACTGGCCAGGCAGCGAGTGAAGAACGAAAAAATGAAAGAAAGGCGGGCTTGCGCTGAGTAAACGAATAGACGGACTGTTGTTTGTGAAATGAATGACTGAAGAAGGGCATCGGGAGAGGCCTCCAGCTGATTATATATATTAATGAAGGGGAAATCCAAAATCCAATCGGCCCCTTGCGGCATTGAACATGTTCCGGTCCGCGGCTGAACGTCCAACCTGGGGGGTTGAGGTTTCGGGCATAGACATCCAACTGGTCGAGCGCCACAAGAGAGTTTTGTTCAAGCCCGGAATGCCGTCTTGAGAGAAATTGCTAGTGCAGTCAGTTATGAGTTGTGTTTCAAAATATATTGCTTTTGATGGGGTCTTCGCTTAATCAGTAAGTATACTTATGACCTACGGAGGAACATTCCGTACTAAGAGGCCGTCCACCGTCCACCAAGCTCACCCCAACGACCTCACGACATCCAATGCCCGACATTCAACATCCAACACCCACCATCGATCAAATCATCAACTTCAAACAGACCTCGACTGCATACCCTGAATCCCGCCATCTCGAGTCTCGACTCTCAACCGACGACCTGACGCTTCGGGGGTGGGGATCGGGGATATGATATTGCGGCCCCTTTTCAGACCATCCAGGCTGGCACTCGGTTCCCCTCTCTCCTTCCGAGCCATGAGTTCGGAAGCGCCTGTCTACTTCGGCCCCTATGAGGTGGCCGGCGAGGTAAATATAGAGAGATATACTCAACTCGCCTCTTTCACCGTTCCTTTGACTTTACTTTCACTTTCTCTTTCACTTTCACTTGGTCCGGGAGTTGACTCCCAGTGTCAGGTCTTCTACCGAACACCCTTGTGCTATGCGATCGTCAATATCAAGCCCATCTTGCCAGGTCACGTACTCGTGATCCCACTCCGGATAGTGCAGCATTTCCGCGAGCTGCACTCCGACGAGATCACGGATATCTTCACCACTGTCCAAAAGGTCCAGAGGATGTTGTCCAAGACTTACGATTGCACCGACGCGAACATTGCTATCCAAGATGGTCCCGACGCTGGGCAGACTGTCCCGCACTTTCATTGTCATGTCATTCCGAGGGCAAAGGGCAACACGAATGGTGACAAGGTCTATGAGATGTTGCAGGGGGAGGAGGGAAATGTTGGAGGAGGCTTGTGGGATCAGAGACGGCCGGATCGCAGTGTTGGCAAATTTCCCGTGATTAAGGATGCCGACAGACACCCGCGGTCGACAGAGGAGATGCAGAAGGAGGCTGCTTTCTTCCGCGAGCAAATGAATTTGCTAGATTGAGTGAAGATACCGACTGAGATTTTCAAGCGGATCCTGCTCAAGCTCTTTGGGATTTCATTCTCAAACTCTCTCTGATCAGGCGCCACAGAAGCTCTTGCAAGGCAGCTGTTTCGTTCTCAGTTCCTTTCTCTGGCGATATTTGCATCGAATATCAATCGAGTAGCCCTGGATAGCACACTTCTCTCTCTTTGCTCTGAATCTGCACGTTTTGTGTTGGAACATGGCATTCAGACTTCGAAGTCACGTGTGTACGCTAGGTACACCGGCCTTGGCATCAGCATATAATGCTCCACGGATCCTCGTACTTGCAAACCTTCAGACTTCACTTCACGAATACACTCGGTACCACCTTATTGTTCGTACTTCTCACTCCGCACCTGTGGAACCGACATTTTGCTTGTCGGCGGCGACTCTCCGATGCATCTTACTGTTAGTAAGTGTATTGTAGTCTAGAGAGGAGAGAGCTCATACGTAATAGATCTAGTCTAGTTGGTGTAGCTTGGAGGCGAGGCCCACGACGAATGCTATAAACTAGGCCCACAACGAGGGTCATCTGTTCAACACATTGACAGATGACATCGTATTATGATGTACCGGTCGCTGCAGGGTGAAGCTTTCACCTTGTACTGAATTCAGCTGCAATAAACACCAACTTCTCAATTGTATCCCGTGTCGTTGTTGAATCCCCACCACGCGGTGCTCGTGTATGATGGCAATACTCCCTCCTCCGCAACACCTACGATTGTTCATACTTGGCCTTTTCACAATTTTAATCTCCTAGTCGCCTAGTGCGACACTAGAAAGTTGCCAGTACCGAATCTCTCCTAGTATCTTGCCATCTCGCTAAGTCAGCAGGCTAGTTGTTGGTTTCCACAATGTCCTCCGAACATAAAAATTCGAGGGTGCCTCTTTCGATATTTCACCTCGCACTTTCATTATCTCCTCAGAGTTCCCAGTTTCCAAGAATACCAGTCTCTAAGAATAGCCGTTTCCAAGAATCCATCGACAAGCACCGATCAGCAACAATCACAATCACGGAAGATGATGATTCTTAGGAACTTGAAGAAGGTCTTCCAGAAGGGGGAAAGTCCAACCCCCCCGGACGACTTGGAGAAGCTCTTCTCAGAGAAAGAACCCATCGTGATCCCATCCTCCAAGTCCGCCACCAAGTCCGCCGACGTCAAGAAGCGCTGGTTCTCAGAGAGGAATGTACACATCGTGATCGGAGAGAAAGAATCCATCGCCGCCAAGACCGTGTCTCGCATACGAATCACGCTCCCCAGGATCTTCGCGATGACACCTGTCTGGAAGGACCACCGCATCCAATGGTGCCGCGACCCGGAGCAGGACGCCTGCCCGACAGTCTGCTGCCCGAATTCCGTGCAGGTCAGCTACCAAATGGCGCACAGCCAAAAACACGTCAAGGGGTGTGAGGCCGGGAAGGTTCGCCTGCCGACCGTCACGTTCCGCCAGTACCTATCGGGGAGCGCGTGGATGGATGTGTCGGTCAGCCACGTCCGGGACGTGTGCGTACGCTGGACCGAGAAGGGGTATACTCTCTTGCCTACTACGGCGTCGGCGGGGTGGGAGCTGGCCGAGAGCACACCCTTGGCGGATGTGGAGTGCGTGGGCTGCAAGATGACGATTCATCGCTACACGCAGCATGTCTACACCAAGGTGACTGAGAAAATGAAATACTTCACGACTATCTTTGTGCATGAGGTGGTTGATGCAGATCCCTTCTTCGATAAATTCGATTGAGTCGACCGAGTCCGCTTGATGTGATTCGGGGCTGCGACTTTCGCCTTCCGGGATGCATGGCAGTCAGTATTTTCCAATCGTTTGGACGGGAGGGAAATAATTCTTTTGTAGGATCATCTTCTGCTTCCTTTCTATTCTATATAGATATGTCAGATGTTTCTTTTGGTGCGGTCATTACCCGTCCTGCCCGTAGGGCCGTAAGGGAAGGGAATACTTGAACGTTGCCGACGCTCGTTCCGATTAAAATCTTTTTCGAACTACATGAGGGGGTATTAAAAAGGACAATATTAGATCGATTTGAGAAGAAGATTATTACCATGGTTTAGAGCTTGGAGGATCCATTCGAAGGGCTGTATATAAACCCTTCGCTTGGCACGTCTCCGTAACCCACTGAAGGTCCCCAGGGCTGTTAACCCGCTAGACGCAAATTACTATCACTACTACTATCACTACTATTACTTCTACTACTTCTACTTCTACTACTACTACTATTACTACTACTAGTACGGTCAAACGAAGTGGTAGGGGGATTGGGTAGAAAGAGGAGCTGGAGCCCTTTTGAAGTAAGTACGTGACTAACGTAAGTAAGCAAGCTTCGCTGAGAACTGACTTGACTGGATGTCTATCTGAGCAGTTTGTTCCAAAGAAATCAAGAGCCCGCTCGCTCGCCCGCTTGCTGAGCGCGATCAAGATCCTCTCTCTGTGCAAAGGCTTCCATCACGATCATCCTCATCCTCATCCTCCTCACTATCACTACCATAATCACTTCCCAGCCGAGAGTTAAGTAGGAGAGAGGGAACCGCGGCTACTCCATCCCGCTCTCATTCAGACTCAATCAAGCAAGCAAGATACCCTCTCCCTCCTCTCCCCTCTCTCCCCTTGCACTCTTTTCGAACGACGATGTCTCGCGTCTAGTCTAGTCTAGTCTAGTCTAGATAGGCCTGTCCGTGTCCCGTCGATCGATCGACCCCCAAGCCCCAGTCCCGGTCCCGGTCGATATAGAGATGGAGATACCTAGGTTAGCCGCAAGACGACGACGACGGCGGGCAGCCCTGCTACTGCTACTCTTGGTCGAACACCGTGTTGGTTCATCAAATCAGTTCATTCCAGTTCAGTACGACGCTAGTCGAGCGAGGACCTCCCCCCATCGTCGTCGGAAAAGAAAAGAAAAAAAAAAAACACAATCGAGCAAGAAAACTGGTAGGTAAGCTAGTTCAGGTAAGTGGGTATCAATCACATGGTATTGATTGGTATTTCACAAGATATATATGAATATATATATATATATATATATATTTTCACGGTGTGCTTTCATTCGTTCTTCACCTCCTCTTTCAAAAACATGATACATATCGCTCGCTCCTGACGGACGAAAGGTAAGCTTCTCCTATATGATGTGCTACCATACAGAAGAGAAATGAAGGCGGTCAACAGACGATGTGAGAGAGGAGAAAAAGAAGAGTGAACCACTAGCGTGAAAAGCAGATGGATAGATAGCATTTAAATTCCTTTTTTAGCAAGACGTACCGTACCATAGCATACCATAGCATACCTAGGTACCGACCTGCTCACGTCCGTATCATCTACGGTAGTAATAGTGTCGCGATAGGGAATCAGATAGACTTCACCCATCGCCAGGTTCATAGCGAACTAGCTACCTAGCTACGCTGTGGAACTAAACGATCTGATTCCCCCGCGCGCTATATATCTCCGGATATCACTCCGAGCCGTAGGTAGGTAGGTAGGTAGGTAGGTGGTTAGATAGGTAGCGGGGACGAAAGGCGCCTGAGCGCGGAGCTCTCCAGGTAGACTACCTGTGTTGTAGCTAGGTAGCCAATATGCATATATATATATATATAACACTAGAAACACTAGAAACATCAGGAAAATCAACTCCCGTGCCTCAAGCGAGCGGTAAGGATATCCAAAGAGACCTACCTACATATCTCATCGACGGACCGGCAAGATTGTGAGAGAGAAAGTGGGTTAGATTAGATTAGATGGGCTCTGTAAGTGATCAGCAGAGACAGATTTTGGAACATGAATACCATACCTACCAACCTGTTCTACCTAGGTAACCTGATCTACCTGCCAGTCGATTTCTCCTAACGGGAACGGACCTGCCGTCAGCCTGCCCTGTGCGACCTTTATCCTGATCGAGTGGCTGCTCAGTGATCGAGTGGCTCAGTGAGCTCACACTGCATGTAGGTAGCCAAGCGAGATGGCCTGGATACCTACTGACCGACCTCGCCTTACCTTATACCGTAGAAGTGCATCATGTGTCACCCAGCCAGCGCTTTCTTTTTAGCCTTTCATTCAGCCTCACCCGCGATATGCCCGCCACATCACCTCACCTCAACGTCACCTCTTCCTGTTAACAGAGAGTTAGTCAGTAAGTCAGTCAGTCAGTCAGTCAGTCAGTGCTACCTCAGAAATTCAGGTCGGTCACACCCGCAAAATCCGTAGCTTGGTGGAACGACGATATACTTCGACCGACGACGACGACCTGTCTTACTTCACCGACTGATAAGGTAGGAAATCCACGCTCAGCTTCACTGCATCTTATTTCACTTCACTTCTGCAGACGCAACCCCTTGTGAGCTGACAACCCCGCATTTGTTCGTTTACCGTCTCGGTCGGCCTTAGCTGCTGCTTCTTTTTCTTCTTGTTGTTCTTCTTCTTCTTAAATCTCGACAGAAATCTTCTGTCCTCGACGACCTTGTCAAGTTAGAGAAAGTATTGCGTTTAACGATCGATCGACCAACCTACAGTGATACATACCAGCAGCAGTCAAGATGCCTTTCGTAGAGCGGTTTCGGGCGGTCTTGCACATCGGCAACAGCCCCTTTCCCAAATTCGACTTTAGGAGCAATAAGAAATGGTTCGTGGCTTGTCCTAGCACCCACACCATCCAAGACCCTATATATTGAGCGAGATCGCTTCCCCTATATTCTTATCACGTCCATCTTCCTAGATAAACAGAAGGCTGACTCGAACCAGGCTTGACATGGGCAACGAAGGCTACCAAACCGAAGGATTCGTCGGCCATGTAAGTGTCGTCGCCCCAGCCTTCCCCTCCCCTCCCCCCCCCCCAAGTCAATGAAGGGCAGCCCAGAAGTAGCCCCTTCCCGACGTCTTCCAAGACATCCACTTACCGCCTTTCCCCCACCCTAGTACACTTGCCCAACCAAATCCTGCCACGCCAAAATACTCGCCTACCGCTCCGTCGAAATGACCGCCACCGTCACAAACGACTACCTGCGCTTCGAGCAGCCCGTTGCCGGAGGCAGCGGCCGGATCGTGATAGAGGTCCCCATCACCTTTGAGTCCGAGTTCGTAGCCATGGAGTCGACGCGGGTGCTGCAGCGGAAGAAGGTGATCAGCACGCCCTGCACATGCGAGGTCGTCCGCGAGAAGTTCTTTGCGAGCTGCAAGTGTGTAAGCTGCGGTAAGACGCTGAACTTCTACAACCAGGTGAAGCGGTGTAAGGAGGTGGGGAAGCTGCGGTGGTTTCTGGCGAGGAAGGAGGATAAAGTTTTGGAGGGGGTCGAGGTGTTACTTGGGGGGTTGGAGGGTGGTGATGAAAAGGTTGCTGTGTAGAGATCAAGAGGCGTGGTGGGTGAGGGAGGTTTGAGTTGATGGGATTTGCTTTCTTTCTGATTCAGGGAGGGTTATGGTGAAATGCGTGATTTGAGGGTCGGTTATCCAGCACCGGGCCGCATGGATGGATGGTGGACATACCAGGCTTCGATTGGTCTCGAGTTAGCGATATGATAACAAATGGAATGAGTCTTACTGTGTACAGTGCTCTAGCCTTGGGATCGTGCCATAAGAAGAATATCAGAGGGTTGCAAACATTTTCGTGACATCAGTGTAGAGGTTGAGATTGCCATCTGACTGCTTCCAGTGATAATCTGCACATCCTCCATAATCTTCTCTATAGTCGACATCCAAAAAGAGTAGCCCGGGATCGACTCTGAGCTGTCGAAATACAGACGCCCCGGAGTCCAAAAACCCAACGTTTTAGTCCGAAAGCAAGATTCTCGAACTCCTCAACGCCCCATCAAACCCCTGATAATTCCGTAGTGTTGCTATTTTGAGCCAGCCGGGCTCATCCTACGACCAGTAGCCTTCATCTTCCCCTTTCTCCACTTGCTCTTTCTCGGCTCGTTTCGTCTCGGCTGCCCTCCCACACGACTGGCTGTCGTCAACAAGAGCTGGAAGCTGGCTCCAAAGGTAGCATACCTCGCAAAGTCCCTTCGCTTTCTTCAGTTCTTCCCTCAGGAACACCCCTTCGCAGCCGATAGTAGGTTTTTTGCATCTCAGAGCTTTTGGAAGGCTGTTGTGTCCACATTTGAAGACTTTTATGCTTTGATAGCACATCTTGAGGCTAGGACACAAACGGGAGTGTAGCTTTTGAGGTGGTGTCGACTTCATATGATGCTCAGGTAAGTTGAGAAGGCCGTGGTATGGGTGTCGGTGGGTATAGACACGGATGAGTCTCTTTCTTCGTAGTGACAGTGAGGATAGCCTGACGTTCCTGTCATCCATCCGATGATCGCTATAGCAATCCAATATCTGATCTAGCCGGCGATGGTGACCTTTAAGGAGGTTACACACAGACACCAGACGAGCCTCGAGTCCAAGCAAGCGACCCATCGGCGTGGATCGGTTGCTTGCCTGCTACCCGTTCATGCACCGAGCGCTTCTCCCTTCCACGTCAACACCACCTCCCGCTCCCCGCTCTCACCACCCCCATACTTCAACCCGACACCCACGCCCTCCAATCCCTCCACCTCCGCCCTCCTATTCCAAAGCATCTGCAGAACTTTCCCCTCGCGCGTAACAAGCACGTACCCCATCGGCCACCGGCTCCTGCCCATCGCCTCTCTCACCCCTTTCGTAGCGGACTTCTGACTGACCAGCAAACCCAGCACCCCATTGCCTCTCCACCCACTAGGTGCGCCTACAAAGGAGCCTTCCAACTCCCTCGCCAAAGACGGGGAAAGCTTCTCTTTGAAGGCTTTGCACTGCACAAGCACTTTCATGGGGTGCGGTGCAGACGGGAGAGGCCAGACGCCGAGGAGGTCGATGCCGTGGTCAGAGCGGCCACCGATGCGTTGGAGAGAGAGCCCGAGGCGGCAGAGGGAAGTTTGAACGGTGTACTCATAGTGAGTGCCTATATAGGTTGAGCTTGTTGGATCTAGGCCTGTGCGGGATGTGTATTCCAGGAAGGAGGGGAGGGAGTTGTGATGCGGGGATTGGGATTCAGGGTAGACGAGCTCTGCGGCTGGAGCTGGAGAGGTGTTTGTAGAGGACCTGCATATTTGCTGTGCAGGACGGATGAACTGCAGATGGCGTACCGGCACTGCAAGCATGGAGACAGGAGGAGGATGTGTTTGTCGTCATGTGATGATTGTCATATGTAGGTTTGGTATCTGTTTGCAGGAAACACAAGTTGGGGCGAATGTCTTGTTAAGCAAACGGAAGTCCGAAGTGGGTTCCGACATACAAAGTATGTAATGGTTGTGATGTAACAATGGGAGATGGAAGCAGAAATCAAAGTCCACACTGAAAGATTTAGTACGGGGAATCGGGGGTTGGCCCCGGCCAAGCTAGCGTGTGATTCGTTGACACCAGCTGCACATCAGTTGAGCCTCCTCGCCTTCAATCGACTACAAGCCATACCAACCAATATGGCTGACCTCCTAACCCAGCTGCAAGATGCGGTTGATCAGGTATGGTTCGGCCCTCTCAGTCCTAGATGCATTGCTAACCGTCGATAGCTTGCAAACCAATTCGTCGCATCGCTCTTTTACGTGCACAAACATCATGACTACCAAAAGCTCAACCCTAACGACACGATTCGGCAGGAACCCAAGAACGAGGAGGGTGTGGCGCCGATGGATCCGGATGGTACCTTACCCTATCCCCTATCCTCAGGAGCAGCAGAACTAGGCTAACCAGCATGGTGTTCTCAGTTACGCCCGATCCCGCAGACGTCTTCAAAGCCGCGCAACGAGAACTCGCCCAGGACTTGATCCTGAAAGAGCAACAGGTTGAGTACCTAATTTCGTCACTACCGGGGCTAGGCAACAGCGAAAAGGATCAGGAGGATATGATTAGGATGCTAGAGGAGGAGTTGAAAGTGGCAGAGGACGAGAGGAGGGAAGCGTTAATGGAGAAGGAGGAGGTCTTGGGAAGACTGGAGGGAGTTATTCGAGGGATTAAGAGGCCTTAAAACAGGATACTGGAGTTAAATTGCGGGGACTTGGACGGGAGTTTGGGAAATACCCCGAGTGGCATTACAGGCGTTGCACTGGGGTTTGGAAGCAGGGAATGAGACCTTGCGGTTGCGTTTTAATAGCATCTGAAGATCTATTATCTCTAGATATGCAGGCATGACCACCACTGTGTCCATCTATACGCCAAGCCATATATCAAACGCCCTGGGTATCTTGCTCTAGCATAGTAAAGTGACCGGATCGTCTCCTCTCATTATCCAAAAGCCAGCCAGGAACATCATCAATTATGACGCCTTGAAGAATTGGGGAAAGAGAGTTCTAAGCTCCTCCAAATTTCTGATTTGTAGCTTACATGGCTGCACCGCAGGCAACGGATCACCTTCCTCGACCAGATGCACCGTGGTCCAGCCAAGCTTCTCCGCGGCGGTACAATTCAAACCAGAATCATCTAGCGCAGTTAGTCTGAGTCTTTCTTGGTTAGAAACAAGACAAGCATACCGACAAAATAACATTTCTTCATATCCTCTACCCCAGCCTCCTTCATGGCCTTAGTGAACATGACTACCCCAGGTTTGCATACAATCGGATACTGGGCATAATCGCAGTAAGTCATGCCTTCAAACATATCGTCTACGCCTAGAAGCTTGACTACACGGTTCCCGTGAGTACTATAAGCATTTGTGAAGAGCCATAGCTTGACTTTGCTTCTGTCGATATCTTGGAGCATCTTCCTCAGTACTGGATCGGGAGAGATGATGTCTTCCAGAGGGAGGGCGTCGTCCACTTGCTCATTGTAGTCGATGGGATCGATCTTGTGATGGCGAACTAAGCCTTCGATTGCAAGGCCATAGTTGCGGTAGTATTCTTGGTGCAGCTTAAAGGCGTCTTCCTGGCTGAGGGACAGATGCTTCATGAAGTACGCATCGATGAGACGGGACATGAGATCGTGGACCTTTTTGCCTGGGGGTAGGAGCCAGCTATCAATCGATATCCCGAGAAGTTCATGAGCAATAATAAATACATACTCTTTGGATAAAGCTGTGAGAATTGTCTCTTTAGCGAGCGTCACAGTCATCACTCATTACAGAGGCATAGGCAGGCCGTAGCACTTACACAATTGTCGATATCGAAGAAGAACACTGGTCTATTATTGTCCGTCATAGCGGCTGCCTGTCTTGAAGCCTGGAAAAAGTGAGAAGTTGTAAGAAAGGGCTTGAAGAATAGAGATGGGAAAAGAGCAGAGAATCGGTGCATGTATCGTGCGTGTATCACTTTGACCTTTGACCTTTGTACAATAGGAGTGAGGCGACTCATAGGATCAGATGCATGACTTTGTTTGGCCATCGGGGGTAGTGCGGATTTTGCCGATACTTATTGGTATGGAGCGGGGGCTAAGTACGGAGCGGAGAAAGAGAAACCCGCCACGCGGAACATTAGTTTAAGCTTGACTCGACGCGACTCGACAACCTTTCCAACTCCCAACTCCAAACTCCCAACTCCCGACTCCCAACTTTCCTTCCTTCTCCCTCATCCAACAAACCTGCGCGGCTACCTACTCATCTGCGAGTATCTGCCTCGTTCGACGTCGCCCTTTCTTGTAGCTTCGCTGTCAATTTCCGCTGTTTTTCTCTGCCCTGCCCTCCCATATATTCTCTCGTAACTAACCTTGCCGATTGTTTTTGCTGTGCGATGGCTGAAGGACCAATACCAATACCAATGGCGCCGGCGCCGGCAAACGGAGCAGAGGCGCTTCGTGAGATTCTGGAGTATGAGAAGATTGTACAGTTTAAGGATGCCGTCCTGGCGGGCACGCATCCTCGCATAAAAATTCCGGCGCATCTCGCTGGGAAGCAGCCGATAAATTCTCTGCGAAATATATCCTCACCCAACTCCACAACACCCCGACCCAGCCTGAACCCAAACCCAGAACCACCCGCGCGCACGACCCCAGGCTCGCGCGCAGAGGCCTCATCCTCTTTCTACGACATATCTCCCAATAAAGCGCGAGCAGCGGGTGGCGCGCATATTCCCTCCAGATCGGAGATCAATCCAATCTTGCTGGAGAAATCTGACGATCTTATCAAAGCTGAGATGCAATTACAGAGACAGCGGCTAGAGAAAGGCCTGAGAGACCAGATTGAGCAGCAGCGAATGGCGTCAAGATCTCTGATGCAGACCTCCGAGTCGCTGCCCAATTTTGACATCTCCGAGGTCCTGTCAAAAGCGCTTGCTATTGTCCACCCTTCTACTACTACTACCACAGAAGCTGAGCCCGCTGACCCTTCTGGGGACGCGACCGATGATTCTTTTGATAATAATACCTTCTATACCAGCGAGCATGGTACTCCTGGGCCTCCGAGCCCAGCTCAAGGCGAGAACATCTCAGCTGAATTGCAGTCGCACAGCGCGCTATCGCTTGAACAGCGTGAGCTGCCAGTCCAAGTCGAGGACCGGGAAGTGGTCATGACTGGTACTTCGCTATCCAATGATAACATTACAGCAACGCAGGCGCGGCCGCAGATGCACTCACAAAACAGTACTCCAAACCGCCATGAGCAGCTCCTGGAGACAGGTAACTCTGGACCTAGTAGCTCCTCTGGGGAGATCGTGTCTTCCAACGCCCAAGGAGCAGTTAAAGTCAGCATGCCCCAAAATATTTTACAAGAAGACAACTGGGCCCCATCTGCATCTAGAGAGAAGAACGCTAACCCATTTTCCACGCAGGCAACAACCCATGATTTGCTCAAGCAGGCTTTGGATAAGGTAGCTACCTCGCCCTTGATTCGTAACCACAATCTCTCTCCTATCGCACCCCAACCTGCTCGAGTGTCCCCATTAGCCACTGCCAGAGATCCCCCCATTCTCCGACAAAATGCTCCTGTTGAGGAAATCCAGCCATTTCAGGTATCTGCACTTCGCAACCAACAGAATGGCAACTCCAGCACAGACAATTCATCGAAGGATGTAAAGGAGAGGAAGAGAGAAAAGAGGAAAGAAAAGAGAAAGCGCAAGGGCAAGGAGGCAGCCACTACCCCAGAGTCTCCATATATCAAGCCAGAACCTCGCTCACCCTCGCCATTTACAGCAGTTGCTCCCTTGCCTCGGCCACAGAAGAGACAGAGACAGTCAGGCCAGTTTGCCCCAGAGCTCAACTACGACGAGCCAAGACACGAACATGTGGGGGGTGATGTTGAGCACCGCGCAGCTGAAGAGCCATTTAGAGAAGCCCGAGCTCCTCGTACGTACGAGAGAATACCGGAGCGCTATGAATCCGAGATCCGTCGCCCAGAGCCCGTGTATCGACGTATAGAGGAAGATGATTTTAGACCAGTCGCCCATTCGCAGTACGGAAGAAGACCTCCGGCTTCAGAATACGTCGCCCTTCCCCATGTATACAGCGAATCGCGCCCAACCGCTTCCTACGCCCCGGTGGAACGTCGAACCGTGGAACCTGCATTTAAGGAAATTGATCTCACCCAGCCAGTCATAGGTGGCAACGAGCTCAGTGAGCGGATTTACAGGGCAAGTGTACGACCTGGAGCAGACCGCGACCGATCAAGATCCCCCATGTACCGTGAGAGAAGATCACCAATGCCCATGGCACCTCCACGACATCCAATGCGGATCATCGTTGATGAATTTGGTCGCAAATACTATGAGCCTGTGCCAGCTCTGCGGCAGTCTATTGCACCTCCCACGAGCTATCGTGAGGCATCCGTCATCTACGAACGACCACCAATACGGGCAGTATCTAGCCGTGTGCCTGCGGAATACGAACGAGAGGGTGTTATCTACCGAGCTTCATCTCCACCACTTCAACGCCGAGTCGTTACCGAGCCAGAGTATGCTATCCCGGCTCAGCCAGATTACCGCGAGTACCGCCAAAGAGAGTATTCTATTCGTCCGACACTTATGGGACCCCCTGGTCCAGAGTATGTTCAAGTCAGAGGTCGGCCTATCACCCCCGTGGAAGATATGCGCCGTGAGTATGTCCAGCGGGCTCCAAGTGCATACCCAGAGGTCAGATATGAGATCCCGAGAGAGTACGCTCGAGTTCAAAGTGTCCGACCAGAAGCACCACCTCGCGAGTATGCTGCTAGTGTCCGCCCGGAGGCACGCAGAGAGATGGCTCCACCCCAGGCGCAAAGAGAATACAGCGTCAGACCGGCTGATGCCATCCCCGTCCCCCGAAGACAGATTCTTGCGGAAGGGGAGCGATATTACGAGCAGGATCTATTGAGACGACCAGCGGAGGTTGCTTATATCGAGAGGCCTAGGGCGAGGGAGGGCTCGGTGGTGGTTTATGCGGATGATGTCAGGAGGGAGATTTACAGGTAGAGAAGGGAGGGACCCGTTTCTACGATGGATTTTAGGGCTTAAGCCAGGCCTGACTGAAGATAAGCACTTCGAGGGAATGCGCTGAGGGTCTCTACTGTATAGACGCATTAGCTACTTGTACAGATAGATATGTGGGGAGCACCGGGTTATCCCGATAGGATGGATGAGGCTTAGGTTTGAAAGAACACTTGTATACTGTCCAATATTTTCCCTCCCTCCCTCGACCTAACTATCTGAATCTGGGCTCTTTCTCCGAGGGCAAAAACAAGCCTTGCTCTCCATACGATGCGTCTCCCTCTGTCATCGACTCCCGTGCATCTCAACCAAGTCTGGTTCTGGTCAAGCAACCTGTGGGACCGAGACCTAGCTCGGCTCTGGCCCCGGCAGACAATCAGTACCCAAAAGTTGCGACGTCAAGTCCCACTATTAGGTAGGAGGTACTCTAGGTAAAAGTTGGTAGATTGGGGGGGGGGGAGATGTGGGAAGGGGGGGGCGGCATGCATATGTACGTGAGATGGATATTCTTATGTGGTTGGTTGGAGTTGATGATGTAGATAGAATAGAATATAATGGAACATCTGGGGTCCTGGTACATTGGGGTATATGTTGCGTTGACTAATAAGTACCAGATGAACCTGCGGCGCACTGACCTTTAGATCTGGACCTGGACCTGAACCTGGAAATGGGTTTATCTGGTCTTATTTTCAATGCTTGGCTTTGAGGATAGTCCGTAGTAGTTGATGATGATCATGGTGATCATGATGATGGTGGTTAGTAGGGTACTTGCATGATTCTTGGATCAACGTCATGGCAACATAAGTAGGTAGTTAGTTAGTTAGTCAGTGTAGTCCGCCTCTCCATCGTCTCCTCTCGGTCCGGCTTGCTATTACTCGCTACAGTAGAGGCAACAAACACCTGACTCACGGCAATTCTTATATCGGCCTCCTCCTCTTCTCTCTCAATCAGACACCAGGCTGGCCTCGTTGATCTTGAAACCAAAGTAGCATTCAATCAATAATTATCTTTGTTATTGTGCCTTTGTTAGGGGTGGTGAGTGATTTTTCGGAACATGAGCTTGTGCCTGAGCTGAGCTTGGGCTTGAGCTTGGAAGCTTTGTCTACGCTATCCACATGCTATACCGTAGTTACTACCGTTACTTTCACGTAAAGCATCTGAATAATTGCACTACCTACACAAGGTAAGCGTCCACGGACAGCTAGCGAGCTGTATTCGAGATTCGATCTTTTTTTTCGAGATTCTGAATCCCCTTCTCCTTCATCCATCTCTTCACCTTCTTCACCCTGACCTTCCTTCACCTCACATGCACCCTCGATACTCGATCTCGACCTTATCGTACGTACGTGCACCGCCATTCTGCCCGGCATCCATTCCAAAGTCAAATCATTGGTACTGGATGAAGTCGGATCAAGTCAAATCAAGTCAAATCAAGTCATCCAAGTCAATCCAAGTCAATCCAAGTCCAAGTCCAAGTGCCTAACAGAGTCCGGTCCATTCCAGCCAAGTCAAGCGAGTTGCTTACTTCAGCAAGCACCTTTCATTCAGCTCGGTCCCCCGACACCGATTCTACTTCTCCTTGCAGCCAAATATCTTCAACGCCCACCAACTTCGTCGCCTCACTCTCGACCTCTCGACTTCTCGACTTCTCGACCACGACGAGACGAGACGATCCGAGACGAGACGACCATCTACCCTCATCATGAACAAATTAGCAAACATGCGCCATTGGTCTGGAAATGGGTTTGGAATGTCGTCGCGCCCGAACCCCAACCCCAATCCCAACAACAACATGCTCATGACGAGCAACCTCGTGCAGCAGCAGCAGCAGCAGCAACAGCAGCAGCATCAACAACAACAGCATCAGCAGCACAAAACCATGAATGGCCACTCGCCCATCCTCTCACCCACGCAGCAGGACCAGCCCATACACTATTCCTTCAACGTACCCTTTGCCTCCGACCTCGCCGGCCCGAACATCGAAGATATCTTGTACGCGACCAAGGGCGCCGTCGAGCGATGGACGCACCCCTCTGATGCGGCGGATGACGTGCCGATTCATGAGCTGCCTGTCCACGCCCAAAACGTTACGACCTTGAGGCAGTTGTGCAAAGATCTAACTAATGGCCCACTGCCGATTGAGGCTCATGTCAAGTCGTCGGAGCCGCGGTTGGTCAAGGGCCAGGTCACCAACGTGTGTCTTTCCGGAAGCTCGGAACTGGTTCACAAGAGCAGAGAGACCATCTTGAACGACACGCCGTTGGCATTGGTAAGGATCACACGGATGCATGTTCGAAGAATGTGCTGACATTTTCAAGCGATGTGCTATTGTCGATGTCGATGGAGATCTAGTACTTGATGATACGAAGTGTGCTCTGAAGCTGGAGGTGGTTAAATATCTCGATCATGTTGCAAGCTTCTGCGGAGTCGACATCTTCCTTCTCGGACCAAAGTTTGCCCTGCAGGATGGCCCGAATGCCAGTGGAGAAGCCGGCACGGATCAGAGATGGAGAGTGGCAGTCTATGGAGACATGGAAAGTGCAGAACACGCAAAGACCCGGGTCCTGATCTTCATTGATAAACTGGTAAGTGAAACAAAAGAAGCGAGTAACAAGTGGCATTTGAGAGATACTGACTGTCCGTCAGCTCGGACGCTTCGTTGATGGAACCATTCTGGAACTGTCTCTCCACACAGTTGTATGCGGCCGATCTCGCAAGAATATCAAGCTCATTGAGTCGTCAACTAACACGGCCATTTACTTCCCACCCCCATTTTCTCAGGTCTACAGATACTGCCCGGCTGGAGCTGAACGCCGAAATCCCGAGGAAATCTTTATTACAGGCGAGACTGCACAGAACATCAATATGGCGAAGGCCAAAATTCACGAGCTCGTCAACCGAACCCGGATCTTCATGAAGGATGCCTCCATCTCGTCCGCAAAGCTTGACAGCATCCTGCTGACAAGATTGGATAAGGTGCGTAAGATCATGGAGACCAATGGCACTTTCATCCAGTTCCCAGCTCTGGCATCCCAGCGAGGTCACATCAGAATCCAAGGCGTGGAGGGTCTTCACGTCGAGCGGACTGTCAGAGATGTTATGTCTCTCGTAAGTCGCCGTGTTCCTGTTACAGTTCCGGGATGTAAGCTCATCAAAATACAGACTGGCCAGTTTTACAGCGCCTCATGGTGGATCCAACAGGCGGATGCGATGCGACTGCCAAACCCTAACGAGATCCGCAACATGCTTTCTGACATTTGCGCCAATTCTGATGCCGATGTTGCTTTTGACAAGCTTACGTTCACAATCACAGGTTCTGACGATTCCGTCAAGGCAGCATTGATGGTTATTTCGGAGATCAAATTTGTTACTCGATCCCAATACCAGATCAGAGTCAAGATTGAGCTTGCTAATGAGCACAAGGAATTTGTCAGTGGCAAGAAGAACGGCAAGATCAACAAGATCATGGGTCAGAGCAGTGTGCAGATCATCTTCGATGGCTTCAACGAGTACAACTTCAACATCGATGTTTGTGGCAGCAACTATGAGGCCATGAAGAATGGTCTGATGCTCGTCGAGCAGGAGATGCCAGCTTCAATCTCGTTCCACGTCCCTGATCAGTACCATAAGCGCATCATTGGCATCGGAGGTCAGCACATTCAGCGAATCATGAAGAAGCACTCTGTGTTTGTCAAGTTCTCCAACGCCATGGACCGCGGCGGCGTAGGACGCGAGGAAGATGATATCAAGGTGGACAATGTCATCTGCCGTACCCCTGCCCGCAATGCCCAGAACCTGGAACTTGTCAAGTCCGAGATCTTGGATATGGTCGACCGCGTGGACTCCGAATTCACGACTCAGGTTGTCAACGTCGACCGCCTCTACCACCGACAGCTCATTGCTCGTCTCGGTCAACTGGAGGAGCTAGAGAAGAAGTGGAACTGCAAGATCATCTTCCCCAGCACCGAGCAGGCAAGCGACGATGTCACTGTTTCCGGACCGGAGTGGCAGGTTCCTCACTGCGTTGACGAGTTCCTCGGCATGGTTCCTGACAACCACGACCTAGTCTTGGCTCGTACGGATGCGTTGACTGCCTTCCTTGGATCCATGCAATTCAAAATTGACCTGGTGTCCAAGCTCAAGAACCAATACGTGGTCGAGGTGCGCGTTTTGGAAGATGAGAGTGAGCTCACAGAAGATGGAGGGCCTACTATGACTCTGCACTGGACTTTCACGAGAAACAACGCGGGTGGGGTCCGGGATGCTATCGACTTCCTCAATTCGAACCTTGCCTCTGCCGGGATTGAGACTACGGTTGTCAAAGGAGCCATCCCACGACCCAAGTCTGACTCCTTCGAAGAATCGCTCCAGTACTTTGACTCGAAGCTCCTCCAGCATGCTCCAGCTCCGGTCTCCACCGACTCGCCAACCAAGTCTTCATTCGGCGATGATGTCGCTCGTGAGCGTAGTACCATCTTTGACAAGCTTCGTAAACCGGGTAGCATGTCTTCCATCTCTTCTTTCTTGGACCGTCGCAAGAACAGCTCTCAGTCTCCCGTTGGATTCTTCAAGAACGGTTCCAACAACGTCTCCAAGTCGTCCTTGATCTCCATTGAATCGACAAGAAGCTTTAATGCTGATCGCAACCCATGGAACGATAGTGGTGTCAATTTGGCCGATGATGACGGTGCCCCATGGCCCACTCGCCACTTTGGCACCGCCAGTAACAGCAGTAATGGCAGCATGGAGCACAAGTCCTCTCACCTTCAGCATCCCGGAGATGTAACACCAAGACACAACATGCGAGCCTCGACCGACAGTGGTCGCCCCTCGACTTCTAATTCCACCAACTCGGGGTACCCGATTGGCCCAATCGGCGCCCCGCGTTCTTAATCACCCGAACATTTCCGTCCCTCGTTTTTCCTAGAGTCATTGTGCAGAGTACACTTCTGGCTGGATATATACCCTGGCGCGCAATACCCCCAATACCAACACGTGATTTTTACTGGCGAAAGTTTGCTCCTTTTTACGCGGCTCTTAATTTCCCTGTTTTTCCCCCCTTGAGAGCAAAAAGCTCGGTGCGTGTGTATTCGGGAAGAAAAGTATGCGATCGCGGCGTTGTTCACCGAAAGATCTCAGATACACCACAACCATAGAGGAATGAATACGTACCCGGAAAGGAACGAGGAATACCAATTTGCTTTTGAGAGTTTTTCCTGACTTGGGACCAGGGCGTGGGAGTCTTTTTTTTCTTTTTCTTTTTTTTTCTTGCGTGTTTCTGTCGCTTCTCGTTCTCTTGGGGCTTCCCCTCCACTCTGTCGATTCCGGCATGTTGAGATGGGGGGTTGGGGAACGGATGACGAGCGGCGGATCTTAAGGATGATGATGGATATGAGTTTGGTGAATGGGAATGAATTGCTTGGGATTGGGGATGGGGTTGCCGGTGGGGTGGTTTATGATGATTGATACCCATGCAATTGACGAGAGAAATACAAAAAGGGATTTCCTTGCCTCGCCTTGCACTACCTACTCAAATGGTCATGTATGTTTGGCCTTTGTAGATGAGATGATTGGACTTATATGAGAGATGATTGGTGCGACTCGGAGGGACAAAGGGAAAGCAGGCGGAGAGAGAGAGAGAGAGAATGAATGATCCATGATCCATAATCCGTCGACCAGACCAGACCAGACCATCCACCCAGGTGGGGAATAATGTATGTATGGTGTTTATGTATGTGCGTACGTATGTATGCAGCTACTAAAGAGACGAAAAAAAAAAAAAAAATACGCACATCTCTCCTCTGCTCTCTATTAATGTCAGAATAGAAATTCTCAATATCGATACAGCGACCGAGTGAGTGAGGGAGCCTGAAAGAAGAGAGAGAGAGGAGGGAAAATGCCCAGCGAGGTGGTGAACGGTTTATTATTAAGTGGGTGGATGGGTGGATGGGTGGGTGAGGGAAAGTAGGTGAGGTAAAGTAAGGTAAAGAAGGTATGTTGAGTACCTAGGTAAGGTAAAGTAAAGTAAGGTGAAGTAGATACCTAGATAGGTGAAGTAGGCGAAGTAAAAGTAGATAGATGGGTGCAATTAATTGATCTATCTCTATTTCATCCTTCATTCATCCTTCCAAGGACTTGCGAAGAAAGAAAGAACTTGTATGTATGTAGTTGGAGGGGAAAGAAGAAGAGAGAGAGAGAAGGAAAAAACGACCCCTTGAAAGACCTCTTTCCGCTCTACCATTCCCCTCCCCCCCAAGAACCGAGAAAGAAACATACAGTATGAGTGGCACGTACCCATGAGGTCTGATGGTCTGAATCAAGTGGGGAGTCGGGGTTCGAGTGTTTTGGTTCCATCTTATTTTTCATTGGTTGGTTCAGAAAAAGGGAGGAAGGAGATTTAGAGATTCGTTTGGTTCCTGCGATGTTCTGCTCTGCTCTGCTCTGCTATGGTTTGCTTTGCTATTGTTTTCATTTGCTCTTCTTATCTCTCATCTTGTCTGAGGTAGGTTTGAATGAGTTATCCAAGACAGAGGAATACCCAAGGAGGAAGGGGGGGTGGGAGAGAGAGAGAGAGAGAGAGAGAAGACGACAAGGGAAAAAAAAAGAAAAGAAAAACGCCAGAACGAAATCCCTACCCACCCATATGCAAGGAGAAAAAAAAGAGAGAAAAAAAAAGGAAGCGCTACGCTCGCTGCAAGATCTTCAATCCCTTTCTTTCCTTCTCATCTTCCCTCTTCCGTCCGCCCTCGGCTTTCCAACTCGCCTAGTCTACACAAACAATAGCGAGCCACCACCAAGGCTCAAGGCGAAATCGGCGTCTGGGTAGCAGCCTGCACCGCTTCCGCAACGGCACTGCTGCGCTCCTTCCTCTCGGCATCCACATCACCTCTCTGCTTCCGATCCTCCTTCTCCTCGCCCCAGGCCTGACTCTCCTCGCTCGGAGGCACTACAGCCGTCGTGTTCCCACCACCACCACCACCATCACCATCACCACGCGCATCATCATCCTCAACCTCCTCGTGAAAGCGGAATGTACTAGGTTGAGAGGCTACTTTCGGCGTGATATCCCGCGGTGTAATGTCCCGCGGCGTAATGTCCCGCGGCGTAATATCCCGCGGTGTGATATCCCGCGGTGTGATATCCCGCGGCGTGATATCATGCTGCTCCGCGTCAAAGAGGCTCTCCTCGTAGCTCTCTCCCGTCTTGGGCCTGTCATCTTCCCCCAGAGGACTTTTTTCCTTGACCGCGTTCTCTTTCGCCTGATTCTGGGCTTGGATGTGAGCGCTAGCAGTGGTAGAAGGGCCGCGCCCCCACCCCGTCTTCCGCTTCTCCCCCACCCACGTCCCCCAGCTCCCAATGTACGCCCCGGCTTTACTCCCCACGCTCTGTACCGTCTGCTTCGCCCCATTCAGATCCGGTGCCGCGAGCCTTGGACTGCTGGGCTGCGGTGCTGTCCCGTTACGTTGCGCTTCTTCGTATTTCTTGCGCTGGGCTTCACGTAACGCTTCCATATCCGCGTACAGCTTGTTAAACACCGTACTTGCCTTTTCTTTACCGGCTTGCAGGTTACGGCCGAGGACTTCCTTGCCGGTCGCAAAGCGCTCGTCAAGGTGGTACTCCTTGACTTGCTCCATCATCCTACGCTGCACGTCTTCGATGGTAAGACCGCCTGCGCAGGGATGCTTGGGCTCGACGACGTCGAAGAGATGCGAGTCTGTGTAGCGGTCCCAGATGCGGTAGTTCTCGGAGCGGGACCAGGCTTCGATCCAGTCGGCGCCGAAGTCGTGTGAAGGATCGCCTTGGACCTGGGGGAGATGAGCTTTGGGATTATGGGCATGGTTCTGCATGTAGTTGTGACATTTTACTGCTGAGATGAGGGAAAGGAGGTATTCTTCAAATTGCAGGCGAATGAATTCCTCTGAACCGACGTAGCCCATTGTTTTGGGACGCCCAGGGTTGGCGCCATCCCAAGTATCGTTAACGGACTGTGTAATGAAGTCGATCCACCTGCGATCAGCCACAGAAAGAGCCAGAGCTGAGCGCAGGCTGCTGGAACTGATGTTGATAGTACTGCTGTCCAAATTGATTAGAATATCGCTGTAGCGATCTTTTTGCTGAAGCAGTAATGAGTTCGTCGAGCCGACAATGTATGATTTCGTGCCGTAGTCGGCAAGAATATCGAGTTGTTGCAAAGGGGTATAAGGACCAAACAAACTCCCCTGGCCGAAAGTCAACAAACAGCTCCATTTGTCAACTGGTCAGTAGATAGTATCAAAAGACCTACCTTCCCGAATATCTGCAACGGCAAACCCATATAAGATAACAAAGAACTCCGATCGCTCGTTTTCAAACTAGAAGGTTTCGTCAAGCTCCTTTCATACGCATCCAGCTCCGGATCCGCACAATCCTGCAGATTCCGGATCAGGCCTGGAATAAGCGATATGAGCGAGAACTGCATCATACACAGCCTCTCGCACCTCGACCCGAAAAACAGCATCTACAAAGCATCAGAGCCCACCCCGAAGTCTACATCACCAAGATAAGCGAAGGAGAGACCAACCTTTGGCTGCAGCAAGCAGCACTTGAACAGCACCAGCGTCTGCCACCTGAACTCTCTCACCAGCTCCCTCAGACTCATACCCAGATACTCCTCCCTATCCTCCTCGCCGGCGCCAACACCGCGCTCCTTCTCATCCTGCAGGCTCTCCTGGAAGCGCTTCAGGATCTCCGTGTCGGTAAACTCGCGCTGTGCGAACCAGGCCGTCGTGACGACAGACAGGCGCTCCCGCAGCATGCCGAAGAACTGAGGCGTGTCGGCTATCACGACCACGGCCTTCTGTACCGTGGAGCGCGTCACGTCCGCGGGACGGTTGAGCAGCGAGGATGAGTCGAGCTGGCGCGTGCAGGAGATGCCGAAGAGGGAGGTCGCGGGGAGGTTGGAGTCTGGGTGCGCAGGGCGGAGAAGGGTGAAGTAGGAGAAGTCTTCCGTAGAACTGTTGGTTGTTTACCCTCTAATCAGCAAAGTCTCTTGTGAGGGAATGGAACAGATGAGGGAGGGAGAGGATAGGGGAAACTTACGCATGCGCGCCGTCGCTCAAGGCCATGAATGGCAGAAGAGGCCACTCGTTCTCAACAGCTGGATCCACGCCTTCGGGAACCCCGAACCAGCTCTCGACCTCTGGGCCTCTGCAGAATCGTATCTCATCAGCCCACGGTCCATGTCCCGTCTGTGTCTTCCTGGCCTTGCTCGCAATCGCAGTCCCAATTCCCCCCCAACCCCAA